CCAGCATACACCATAGGGTGCTCCTCCAGACTTCTTATGAAGTAGCCACATGTCCTGCGTGCTGGTGGATGTCACGGTGCAGTGGCAGTCTCTATCACAGTTCCCCATTCCAGGAAAAACAACTCATCAGCTCGGCTCTTGGTCCTTCTGTAAGGCTAGTTTTATTCTGCCGAAACTCAAATGCTGTATTTGGTGCATGCACATCCTTCAGATGTGGGTCAGGCTGCTGTGGGAAGTTTACTAAACTGATCTGTTCCTTCCCTGGGTAACTGTTACTTCTGACTTTTGCAGTCCAGCCCAATAAGGAGATCAAAGTTGTCTCAGCAGTTCGGAGGAGCAGCATCACTTCCCTCGCTGGAAACTCCAACCCCTACTTCAGCATTACTCCCACTCTGGTTTTCCCTCCTGTGGCTGAGTGCAACCCCAAATCAGGTCTGGGCTCCAGCACTGTCCTTTTTGCTACACAGGACATATCTGTTCCCTTGGGCATGAGCTGCCTTATTATGTGCTTTAGTGTATGAAACCCTCAATTCTGATCAGATCTGTCACCTTCTGCCCTAGTGTTAAAGAGACCCGTCACCAATGAAGAGCTCCTGTCCCCTGGGGCTCCCTACGTCAAGAAGACGCTAACTGTAAGTGACCATCATGAATGGTGTCACTGCTCTGATGGCACCGAGCTCTCTTTGATCACTTTCTGCTTTGATCACATTTTGCTGCTTTGACCTCTCAGCATTGAAACTTTGATTGCATGTCACCTCATCCCAGCTCCTTCATGGTGTGTCTCAGTGGGTCGATGTCTTCGCATGTCCTTGTTGCTGAAAGCGGCAGTGACCGCTGTGGCCTCTGCTTTAATTTAATATATATCAGAGGGATATCCAGGAAAGAAAATGTTTCCTGGACAGGAGAAATACAATTTTTGTATCGCCAGCTCCACACAAACTGTAGATTCAATCAGGTCTTTTGGCAGCTGGGACTTTGACACTCATCCCGTGTGTCACAGAGATGTCACCTTTGCAGTGCTTTATTCAGCTTCTGATTTCCTGTTGCAGAGAAGATATATTAATGTGCTCTGTCAGGTTCTGATGGAGTAGAATTGAAGGGGGAACATTCAAGGGCTGCTCTTCCTTTGCTATGATGGGCTTTCTGTCATGAATAAAATAAGCCCCTTAGTTTGGGGCTTTTGCTTTTCACTTTATTTCTAGAGCTGTAGGATCACATTAAAACAGCCCTGCCTGGGCTGGGGGCTGTGAATGTCAGAGGACAGTTCTTGCCCTGAGGATCCTTTTGTGCTTGGCTATTTCTGACTCTCTCACTATGCTGGTTTGACTCAGGTGGGTTTGGATCTGATCCCCAAGTTAACTAGGCTGCAGAAATTGGAGGGAAAGAATGAGGAAAAGAAAGCAGCTGGTTGGTGTGGCATGCATGAAGATGTGCCACTCGTTCTCCTCCTGAACGCTCTTGCCCTGCCCTTCAACTCTGCCAGCTGGGGCCTTTCATGGCTCATTGCATTCTGCTTCGCTGTGCACTTGCTGTTATTTATTTATATGGCTAATGTGCAAAGTCCTTCGAGAATTCTTTTTCTCCTTTAGTCACATCATATGGCTGCAGTGTTAAGGCAAACTGCTTTGACAAGCTGAGATCAGAACAGGAAAGGTTAGGAGTGGCTGCTCCCATCCTGTAAATTCTGCATTAAGGCACAGTGTCCCTGTGTTTTGGAAATGCTTGGTGAGCTCTTGGTGCACACCCTGCACTGAACTTCGTGTTGGCATAAGAGAAATGAACAGTCCAGGAGGGCCAAGGCCCCTGTGTGCTGTTTTCAGGTGATACGTGTTCAAAAACCTTCCATAAACGCAGAGTGGAAAAATGAAGTCAATCTTTACCCGTGGCTGAACATGGAGGAGGAAATGGGACAATTAGAAGGGATGTGTCATTGCCAAGGATACTGTGAGAGACTCTGGCACAGGTGAATGAAAAAACCTCCAGGATTAAAAAGAGAAACAAAGACTGCCCTTGAAACCAATATTTGCAAGAGCAGTTTGTCCCCAGCTGTCGTGCATGGAGGTGGCAGAAGTATTTAACTGATATGGAAAGTTTCCTGGTGCCCAAGGATGCTCTCATTTTATCTGACAGACTGAGAAAGCCACAAAGTAATGACAACTATTGCTAATGCAACTGGAAACAAAGAGTGAAGGTCTTTTTGTCTTCTCTCCCATGCTAGATGGAAATTAGGATCGCGAGCAGAGCATCAGTAGGAATTGCAGCATCCCCTCTATCCAGCCCATTCCTTTGTTCTAAGTCCTTTTGTTCTGCTTGCAGATCGTGGGGGATGCTGTGGGCTGGGGTTTTGTGGTCCGAGGAGGCAGACCGTGCCACATCCAGGCTGTGGACCCAGGAGGACCTGCTGCTGCTGCAGGCATGAAGGTACTCTGCTCGCAGTGACACGGGGCAGGATTTGTCCCCTGCTGGAGCCTTTCAGGCTGAACACATCCCCCATGGTAATCCCACCTTCTGCAGCAGAGGTGGAGTCACTGCTCTGGTTGTGTTTGTCTGCTTTTAACAACGTGGTTCTGCATGGAACTCTTTCCCCATGTGCATGAGAGCAGAATAACCTCAGACTGATGCCTTGATTTGGCTCACCAGGTCGTGCCCAATATTCCTGGCTCAGGTGTGAGAAAGGGAGGTCTTGAACATCTCTTAAGAACCAGCATCTAAGCGTGAATGGGTTTTGTGTGTAGAGCTGCAAGCCTGGATTTAGGAGTGAATGAAAGAAATGGAGTTTCAGTTACCTTGTAAGAAGAAGAGCAGTGAGTGAGCAATTTCCACAAGCTGACACAACCCTGCAGCCACGTGGATATTTGAAATAATGGGGTTCTTCAGAGGCAAAGTGTGACTCTTGCTTCAGGCAGGGTTGGAAGGAGACGTGTGAGTTCATTTCATTTGCTCCAGAGCCTAGTTTGTTTCTCCTCACCTAATCTAATTTGCTACCAAATTGCTAAATGTTATTATTGTGCCTCATTTCCATCTGTGAAATGAACCACTGCTCATAAATGAGTAACTTCTCTCTCCATTAGCTCAGTCTAAATCCCTTTGGTCTCTTTTTTTATGATACAGTGATTATAGCACAGTGATTATTAGTGGAGCTTACAGAGTGGTGATGCTTTGGGCTTTGCAGGGTTTTGCAGTTATTGGCAATACAGCCTCTGGCTGCAGTCAGCCCTGAGCAGAAGCTGCTGTTGAAGACATGAGCTGAATGTAACCAGCCCTTCCTCTCCCTGCAGGTGTGCCAGTTTGTTTTCTCAGTGAATGGCATGTATGTTTTGCATCTGGACTATCAGACCATCAGCAGCCTCATCATGACCGGACCCCGGACTCTTGTCATGGAAATCATGGAAGCCATTGAATGAACGGAGGAGCCTCATCCCACCACCGTGTGGAGGAGGAGGGCACTGCAAAGTAGGGATGGACTGTGGGCAGGGACCAAGCTCGACCTTTCGCTCTGAGATGTTTAGTCAGGCATTTTAGCATGTTTTCAAATAAACACGTTCTAATGGGAGAGTTTCGGATTTTGATGATGTTGAAATCTTCACCTCTAGCTGACCTTGAGCTCTCACCACTCCTTTCTAATGCTGGTGGGAGAGTTCAGTACTTGATGAAACCAAGTCTTGGAGCAAGCCAGCCACCCCACCAAGGCTGCAGGACAGGTGGTGCAAGCTGCTGGGCAGCAAGAAGTTTGATACCAAGAAAATGAGCATGTCTGAGCCCCCCTGAGCTGTCTGTGCAGTCTACCACAAGCTCAACGAGCTTCCCAGATGGCTCCACAAGCTGTGCCATCAGCTGTGATATATATGCTTCCTTGTAAATAAAGCCATAGGACCCTGCTACTCGTTGGGCTGGTTACTCTTCCCAACTGGGTTTCTTGAAAGGTAAGACTTCTACAGTAGCTCTTCTTGTGGGACACTCATACGCAGCCTACTTTGAATGTAAGCTTGAATACAGGTAATAACAAGAACGTGGGGAGGTTTATTGCTCTCCAGTTCACACAGCACTCTGCTCATCACTTTGAACCTCCGGTCACTTTGATTTGTCTTGAAACGTGTGCTGATTTTCCTGGAAGATGTGGTGTGAGGCACTGCAGCGCAGCTGGCTGCCTGATTTCTTATGTATACAGAGAGATGTGCTTCTCTCATGCTGGTGCAGAGGGGTAGCACTGCTGGAGCACAGGCTTCCTAGAGCACGGTCCAAGCAAGATGTTTGCACTGATAACCCACTGGGGTCTTTCCAGGCCCTAAGTGAAAGCGGACAGCCTTGTGAACTACACAAGCATAACCACTGGAACAGTCTCATTATTTTTCTGGCTTTGAATTTCCTAGAAAGCGAATGAAGCATAGGAGATTCGTGCTCTTTCGTTTCTCACCTTCTTGCTTTGCAGTAAACTGCTGCAAATCTGAGTAGCTGTTGAACTCCAGTTCAACAGCAGTTTGTGGTATTTAAATGCAGGGCAGTGCCAGTTCTGTCTCCCCAGGTGCACGACGCTTCACTTTAACAAGATTTAAGTGTTTTCTTTTCGTGTTACCCTTTGGTTTGTATATTCCGACGCTTTAAAGCTTTTACTGGATGATAAAGAAAATCTTCAGTGAACTACTAAATGTTTATTGTGCAAAAATATTTAGAAACTTTGATTTTCTTCCTTCCAACACGTCCAAGGGTGCCCGTTTCCTGGAGAGTGAGCAGTGCACATTTCCTGAAGCTCACTGTTGCCATGCAAGGCCGATGCCAGCAGTCAGCAGAGATCTACCTGCAAATCCAGTCTGCAGCAGGGAGGAAAAACACGACTATCGATTGTCCCATTCGTGGCAGTGAGGACAAAAGGTTTTGGATGAAGCCTTGCCTCTCCAGGGTTGTGTAGCCAAAGGTCAAGGCTGCAGGCACTGCTTGCTCTCCAGCTCATGAATCAGCTCCTGGCCTCGCAGAGCCTCCAGATGTGCTTAATTCCCCTATCCAAACGCAACACAATTGGCCTTCAGCACAAGCGCTGGGCTCTTAGAAATACTTAATGGGATGTGAATACTGGACTGAGTTCATCCCTGGGATCATGACAGAGGGTGGGAGGCACAGCTTCTTGCTGCGCTCTAGGAAATCAGCAAGCAGCTTCCTAGATGGAGGTTTAGCACTGAGATAACACGAGCACTCCGTGCCTTTCATTGAGATTTACAGTCACAGGCTCATGCTTTCCTTGCATGCTTTATCGAGCCACGTGTCTGGGCCACCGCTCTGCTGCACGGTGCAGAAGGGAGGTGGGGGAATCTCTGTCCCTCTCCCACTTCCTTCCTCCCTCCCTCCCCTCCCTTAACTGCACTGACTCTGGGACTGAGCTTTCTCTGTTGAGATCTCTCCAAGCACGCCGACACGCAGCGAGGCACTGGGGCTCCTTCCCAAACGTCTGAGAATGTAGCAGGATCCAAACTGCCTCCCGGCGAGCTGCTCCAACAGGTCTGTGCTTTGCTCCTTGCTGGTGCTTGATGTGCAGGGGAGGTCGGAGGGGCTGCGTTGTTTTGGGACATGTGTGGGTAGCAGGGAGCTCTGAGAGGGTTCCCAGCCATGGGGCGCTCGAGGCAGCGCTGGCAGTGCTGCAGAGGGGTGGCCTCAGGTCTTGTGTTTGCTGTAGTTCAGTTGTGAATGTCACCAGGACTGCCTTATAGAGAGCAATCTTTTTTTTTTTTTTTTTTTTTTTTTTTTTTTTTTTTTTTTAATTTTTCCAGTGATGGCTGTTGGAGATGTGGTTTGATTTTCCTTTTCTTTTGTGGCTCACAGATTAAAACTTGCAGGGAATTTATGCCAAAGGTGCTGGCAGTGGCAGCTCAGGGTGCATTTCTTCCACCTGCAGGCATGGTGTGGGTCTGCAGCAAGCTAAAGTTCCTAAACCTGCCTGGTCCGTGCCTCACAGCAGACCTCATCCCTTACTTTTTTGAGACTGATGTGGAAAGGAACTGATGATTTTTGCTCAGTAGTGAAATAAATGCAGAAGATTTGCAGGCAAGAACAGACAGGGTTTGATGAATACAGGTTTTCTTCATCTGCTGTTGGTTGTTTAACTAGGAAAGTACTCAAGGAATGTGGGCTCCTGCAGCAGGCAGGTGGCACCTCGGGGAGATCCCTGCCACTGCCTGTGTGCAGGGCCATGAGGTGACATCACTGCCAACAATTCTGTGCAGGGCTGATGATGTCCCTTGGGATAACAATGGGAACATCCCCAAACTATCAGCTGGTTCATGGGGCTGTGGAGGGCAGAAAGAATTCACACTGCTCCTATGTCCTCGCCAACTTAAAAATGCAGCAGGGATATTTCTGCATAAAATCATTGGGTTTTTTTTTTGTTTTGTTTTGTTTTGTTTTTTTTTTCCTCTTTAATTGAAGTGGCTGTTCTTACCATTTCCTGCACAAATCAGGGGATCTCATACTGCCTTAATCTCCAAATCCAATCTGAGCACACAGCTGGGACAAACGGGAAGTGGTGCGTGTCCCCCTCCCATTTTCCAGGCCCTGGAATTACTCACCACTTGCTCCATATGTTGCTGTCTCCAAATTCTTTCCCCAAACAAGTAATGGGAGAGAGGCACAGGCGTGCAGGCAGCTCCCTGTGCTCTGCTGGGCTGATGTCATCGTGGTCCCTGGTCTGGGGTCTGCAGCTCAGTCTGGCCATGGTGCCACCAAAGGGGAGAAAGTGGATGCAGAGAGTGGGAAATGGATGGGAAAGGCAGAAATGGGTGAGATTTGGGGTCCAATAAGTAACCCTATGGCACAAGGAAGCAATAGATTCTCCAGCTCTCATCTTCCACCATTTAAAACCACTGCTTTTGTTCTTCTTGATTTATGGATAGGAAAATGAAATTTGGAGAAGAAGTGCTGATGGTTTTGCCTCTGACAGGAGGCAGAGATGATAGGAAGCAGAGATGAAGTCCTTGCTTCAGCCACAGTGCTGTGACAGTGTGACAGCTACAATGCTGGAACTTACTGAGTGTAACCTGGGTTAATATCGAATTCTTCCTTACTGGCACATCCAGGTGAAAGCAGCTGATTTTGCAGCTCAGTGCAGGTTGCAGATGCCCATGTGCTTATTTCACTGGACTTTGGATCCCACATAACCCTGATTAATGTAAATATCCTGTGCAACACAGTGCTGTGCTGGAGTCCTGTTTGCCAGCAAAGCCGTAGGGAGGTGGCACAGAAATGCAGTGCCATTGCAGAATGGGACAAATGAGACCTCGAGTCAGGGAATTTTTTCAGAAATGCAAGCTCCTCTCTTCCCATTGCCACATTTACCCCTTCAGGAAGAGCAGGCTTTGCTCTTTTTGAGCACACAGATCGCAGAGCCCACCTGTAATATGCTTCTGTTTATGAGCGATGACTTCATCTTGTTAGCTGGAAAAAGGCAAGTGTTTCCCATGGCCAGGGGCTTCAGTTACACCGCAGTTGTTCCATATAACTTGATCTTCAATCAAAAAAAGTAATCACAGAGTATCATACATGAGTGTGTGTGCAGGGGGAGAATAGTTAATATCTATCTGTTATAACTTGCAGTATATTTTTCCATTCGTTCTTACAGCAATTTTGAACTGATTTTAAACCCAGGAGATCATGGCTAGGTCACTCCTGCATATTTATTTTTCCTTGAAATCATTTTAAAGCTGACATATCAGAGGAGATACAGGCATTTGCCAGGAGCCTGTAAATACCTGTCCATCAGAATGAAGGGAAATGAAATGTCGCTGCAGAGGAGGAAACTTGTGTACGGTCTGGGTCTGCCAAAAGCAATTGCATAGCACAAAAATGACAGATGCCAATGATGCAAAAAAACACCAGCATATGTTTTAAACCTGGAAAACTGAGGCTGAGGCCATGGGGAGGCTCTGCATCTATGTGTTAGAGTGGTTTTATGATGACCTGACTTTTCTGTCCAAAATGACACCTAAGTCCAGGCCAGAAAGACAACAGAAGGTCCTCGAGGTTTGTGAGCTATAGGGTGAGTTCTGAGGGGTGGGTATGTCACAGGGGGTGTTTCTAAGTCAAACTGATCCTCTGCCTTTATAAAGCCTGTAATTGCATTTTGGTCTTGTTCAGGTGAGCAAGTCAAAACAAGACCATGCCGATGCACCCTGGATGTGACTGCTCAGGAACGCCACCATATATAATAAATGAAACTCTCATTCCTAAGCTGGTGACATATAAATTGAGTGGTACCTCTTTTGCTGCTTAATTGCTTTACTGTGATCATTGGAAACCCAGCCAGCTGAGAAGAGCACTGGATTGAAGCCTCCTCCCCATCAGATGTACAAACTTGTTTCAGTTCTGGTCCAAGGAGCTGAGCAGCTGTATTGAAGAGACCAGTAATACAGAATAATATCTAGGAATTGCAGAAAAGTTAAATGTGAGCTTCACCACTTAGTGCTGTCAGTGATGGAAAGAGCTGTATATCTCAGCTCGTGGCTCCTTCACTGGGGGCTGGAAAAGAAAATTAAACAGCAACAGAACAAAAAATAAAAGCAATAAAAAAAACAATTACAAAGTCCATTACAGCAACAAGCTTCTATTCCCAGAGCCATAACAAAGCCCAGATGGTCACTACTGACATCCCTCAGAGAGCAGCAGGGTTTGCAGTGTGGAAGAACTGATTCAGGTGGGTTTTGGCATGGCGAAAAGTAACTGCAGCTCCTTCTTCCTGGTGCTTGCTCTCACAGGTCCTGCTCACCATGCTGATTCGCACCTGCTTCTTTTTTGCCTGCCTGCCTGTGGCAAGCCACGTCTGGGGACGAGGGGGGCAAGGTAAGGAGCTCACCTGCACTGCTCTGGGGGGGCTCTGGATTGGAATCTGGGCTAAGCTGCCAGCCCTTCTGGTGGGGAAGCTCCAAGCAGCGTATTCTCATATATAAAGAGCAATAGGAGATCAGGGAGGCAGTGCTGGGAGAGTGTCTCCATCCCACCCCACTCTGCAATGCCTGTTCTCATCTCTGGCAGCAGCTCAGAGTGCCTCTCCCTTGCACTGGGGATGCATTTCAGTCTGTGTAAGCAGGAGAGGATGCTTGTGGGGTCTGCTAACAGAGCTTGAGAAACAGAAAGAAAAAAGTGTTGCTTCTGTTCATTGTCATGTCTGTCCTGCACTGTGAAACTGTGGAGCTACGTGGTGATGTGTGACATCTGGGTAAGAGAGTACATGATGTGCATTCTCCTGTAGCATGTAGAGCTCCCGCAGTGCCATGAATGAGCAGAAAATACCGATAGCACCTCACCATTTCCTTTCCACCTTTCTATTCCATGTGAACCATCCATATGAGGGATCACCACAAGGTTTTCCTGAGAGGTGATGGCATGTCACATTCAGGATAGGCTTATCTCTGCGCTGTGCATCTTCCACACAGTGTGTCTGGGCTTTGCTCCCCATCAGCTGGAGAGCAAGGTTACAGCATCAGAGAGCACACATCCAACACAGGGCAGAGAAACAGTGGGGCTTTCATGGCACCGGGCTTCATTTGCATCCAGCACATAATGGAGCTTCAGAGGATGCTGTCCTTTCTGATCTCTCTGGGGACATTCTTGCCTTTTTAACTTCTGGGCTCCTAGAGCGATGGCCAAAGAGTTGGACCACACTTGTCCAGAAGAAGACAGCTTCATGTTTCCTCTATGAATTCCCCTCATTGTTGCATGATTTTTTATCACTTCTCTTCGGCACGATTCTGAAATTTGATTTTGCCCCTCACCCCTCTTCCCCATGTTTTCTTTCTTCTTCTTTACATTTGCATGGGGTGAGATGTGAATTTGAGCTTTGTTTCCCCAAAATAGTTGTCTGCTTGTTAGGCAGCCCACAGGAAGTCTCTGCAAGAAGAGGCTGAGGCACAGATGCTGGGTTGAGCCAAACAAGTCCTTGCTGCCAGCTCCCACTGCTTTCCTGGGCTGTAACTTCATGCAAAGATGTCGGGAGATGTCTGACACCATGCAAGACCAAAATAGGAACATGTGGAGTCCTACAGAACACACAGTGTGCCAGTGCTGAGCATGATTTTTGACACAGAGGGTGGTGATGCACTGGAACAGGTTGCTGGAGAAGGTTGTGGATGCCCCATCCCTGCAGGCATTCAAGGCCAGGCTGGATGTGGCTCTGGGCAGCCTGGTCTGGTGGTTGGTGACCCTGTACATAGCAGGGGGTTGGAACTGGATGAGTATTGTGGTCCTTTTCAGCCCAGGCCATACTATGATGCTCCAGGTCACCTTAAGCTTTATTTATATATGTATATTTAATAAGGAGTGAGAAAGGGAAAGAATCATAGAACCATGAAGGTTGGAAAAGAGCTCCAAGATCCCCAAGTCCAATCCCAGCCCACCCCACTGTGCCCACTGCACCCACCCCACAGCTCTGGGACACCTCCAGGGACAGTGACCCCACCACCCCCTGGGCAACCGTGCCGCTGCATCACTGCTCTTTCTAGGAATAAATGTTTCCTAACATCCATCCTGACTCTCCCCTGGCACAATGTGAGGCCATTAGCAAGAGATTGGTAACAACTGCCAAAGAGGTGGGCATTTGAAGGTATGTATTATTACTGTGCAGACAAAGGAGGCAGTTGCTCATTGCACATGAAGGAGCCTGCTGGAAAGACAGCTGTAGGTGCAGGAGCAGGGAAGAGGAGAGACAAATCTGCTGAGTTGCCACCCTACAGCTAGTCAAGTGGGAATGTTTCATACAGTGACATTTGTATGACAGTGTGACTGTATTTCCTCTGATTCAGAGACTGACACATGGGTGAGACATTTAGCAGGGCTTTAAAAGATCTCTGAGAAATCTGGAGCTGATAAGAGAATGTGCTCTTTCTTCTTTTTACCTCCTTGTCTGATACTATTTTTTTCATCAGGATTTGTCGTTTCAGTTCACTGATCCCAATGCAAGCTGGTGCCCGTGAGTTATGGTCCTGCCAGGAGGTGTTAGTTACACTTTATCAGGTTTTCTCTCCTTTTCTCTCTTTCTTTTTTTTTCTTTACTCTCTAAACCCAGCTGATCCCTGGAGCTTCCTCCTGAACAGTCTTTCTGCATAAGGGTGGCATTCATATCCTGGGGAATTTCTGTATTTTTCAGCAGCCTAAGTTCACTGTAGAGCCTCATTGACTCCCAGTATCTATTCCCTTCCCTTCTATTTCAGACATCTGCACCAAAACCCTTGCTGAAACCACACACATGCCATGAAGGTTCCTAGTAAAGACTTGCAGCGTGAGAAGAGCACAGAGGAACTCTGACTGCTTTGCTGTTTTCCTCATTTGCAGTAGCACGTAGTGAGGGCTCACCCAGAGAAGCTGCCCCTTAGCATAGGATGGAAGGTGGATTTGCAGCGATGGGTTTCCTGGTCCAGGGGCAGCAGGAGTGGCTGTGCAATGTCAGGGGATGCTGAGTGTTTGTATGGGATGATGAAGGTTCCATTTGCACTGCAGCTGTCCCTGTGTCTTTAGTAGACGTAGCACGTGGGGGGTTTCATGCATGTGTGAGTGTGTGCAGAGGGAGGAATTGCACCCACAGTGGGATGGGCACCTCTCCTCCTCCTCAGGGTCAGGCCGGCTGAAACTCACAGTCCTTTCAGAAGACAGGCTCCAGATGAAATGGAAAGAAACCGAAGGAAACATCAATGGCTACAAAGTGCGGGTAAAGCCTATGGCAGGTATGTGCTACCCAGCAGATTGCTCTGAGTGAGGGATGGGCCCCCAGCTTCTGTGTGGTGCTGGGTGTTTGCTGGATGCTCTTTCTCCTTGTCTGCACCATTGAATGTTTGCCCAGAGTGGAGAGGAAGACAGAAAACAAGTTCACGGAGCAATGGTTATAACTCTGTCACTGCAGGGGTCCTGTTTGTCTCATCCTCAGGGACGGGATGTCCTTGGCCCCATACATGGGGATGCTCAGCTCGTGGCTCCCCGCCCTGGATGAGCTCCAGCTCTCCCTGACTTCTGACTCCAGACAGGCACTGCAGGAAGGGCACTGCGTCCTCGTGGGGGAGCAGCATCCGGGTGCAACCTTAGCTTGTGCCCATCTGCCTGCTTTTAGCTCAGCCCCCAGCTGTTTGCCCAGCCGGTGCTGGAGGTTTCTCATTCCTCCCCTGCCAGGGAGCGATGGGCATCCCAGGAACGTGGGGAATCCTCATGTTGAGCACGCCTGAGGCTTTCCCCATGTGTGGGCTGGAGCTCCGTTTCCAGCCCTAAGGGTGACAAGATCAGAAATGCATCCATTCCCACATTTAAAGGCTCACACACCTTTCTTACTCAGATGATTTTAGGGAGCTGCTTTGCTTCCCTTCCTTTGCTTTGTTCTTCTGGTCCAAAGTTTCTCCATTCCACTCCTCGTAACAGAGACACGGTGCAGTATTTAGCTGTGGTTTTGCAGTGCTGCCTTGCTTTATCTGCTCCTTGCTGTGCAGAGGACAGCTTCTGTTAGAGAGAGATGAGGTTTGCAGAGGGAACACAGCAAAAACAACTGCATTAAGTACAATGAGTCCCAAGGGCCAGGACAGAACTCTGGAGATATCGGAGCACTTCCTCACTTTGTCACGAATGACCTCAAGGACATCACTTGGTTTGATGTTTCCATAAGTGGTGTTTGCCCAACCTTCACCCTCTGGAATCTGGCCTTTCTGTCTGCTGTTCTTTGAGAAGTCAGTGGGAGTCACACTAGTGCTAGGTGGGAACTTGTTTTCCATTTGGAGCATGTATCAGGGCCTTTTAAAAGACTTTCTCAGCTCTGAAAGCAGAGATCTACAGAATTAAAAATTAAATTAGAATTGATTGAGGTCCCCAGACAGACATTCTCTGTATTTCGGTGGTATTTCTGCTATTGTCAGCTTAAATGTAAGCTCTAACAGTTTCTGAACTGTGGCTTCATCCCACCTCAGGGGACTCGGAGCAAGAAGTCATGCTGAAAACAAAGACTCCCAAAGCCACGGTGGGGGGGCTGAGCCCTACCAAGGAATACACGCTGCAGGTGTATGTGCTCAATGGCTCCCAGGAAGCCTTATTCGCCAAGAGGAAATTTGTGAGTAAGTAAAAAAATCAACATTTTACCATTCTGAGGGCTCTTGGAGATGTGGCTCCTCAGAGCTCATCCTCTGGCAGATAAATAGTAGAATCAAGAATTCGTTTGAATTGGAAGAGACCTTTAAAAGCCATTTGGACCAACTCCCCTGCAGTGAACAGGAACATCCACAGCTCCATCAGTGCTCAAAGCCCTGTCCAGCCTGACCGTGAGTGCCTCCAGACGTGGGGCATGCACCGCCTCCCTGGGCAATCTGAGACACCCTTATTGTATTACATTACATTCAGTGTCCCCATAGACTGTACTGAAGCCCATTACTTTTTTGTTGGAAGCTTGGAGAGTGGAGATGGTGAATACTGATGGGATAAAGGTTGGACCATGACTCACAGACCCATCTGGATTGACTCCTCCTTCTTGTATTTGTGATTTCTATAGTAGAGGACCTTAAAAATGCATCCCAGACTAGAAATAACCGAAGGAACGCAGGAGCTGCACCAGGAAAGAATCTCACCTCTGCGGGCAGCTCAACAGTTGAGCAGAGCCTGGGGATGGAGACAGCTCCACCACCCTTGAGCACCATCCTGACACATCCAGGTGGGTGCACGGAGTGTCCTGGGGCCGCTGCCTTGCTATGCACACATATGAGCGATGGAAATGTAATCTTCAAGGCAGTAACATAGGAAGGGAAAATGTATTCTTTTTCTGTTTGGAGCACAGCAAAGGACAGAGCTGAAAAGAAAAGGCACAAAGGGACTCAGCCCAAGGGCTCAGGAGAAACCACGAGGAGCCAGCCCAGTGTTGGTGTGACACAAACACCATCACCAACCACAAAGTCATCCCAGCGTACCACTGCAAACGTGGAGCGAGAGTCTCTAGGAAAAGAAAAACCCACAAGGGATTCACTGAGGAGAGGTGAGAGCTGCTTCAAGCGTGTCCTGCTCTCTGTCCCCCACTGTTTTCTCTAGCGATTGCTAAACACAATCCTTCTAGCTGTCTCTCTGTCACCAAGGGAGCATGAGTGCTGCTGCTGCTTTTATTTGCTAGATCATGCTTTGGAGAGCTGCCAAGGATCACCCAAAGAGTTTGGAGTTCTGCGAAGCATTACAGATATAAAGGAAAGCTGGAGCTAAGACAAAAATTCCTTTACAAGGGGAGTTTTTTAATGAATTGATTTCCCACTGTTCTCTCTATGCATGTTACCACCTCTTCCTGCTCCAGACTTACCCGTACAGGTTATCATTCTCCAGCACACGCTGGCATCCTGGTCTTGTTTTTCACATTTCCCAGCTAACTGATCCTTGCTGAAACTTTAGATCCTCCGACTGAATGGCTCACAGCACTTTTGAAGTGGTGGGAAGGGCTTGGCTGGAACATCCCTCTTTGGTCCCTTGATAACAGTAGAAATTCATAGTTATAAGAAGAGATAGGAGACTGACCTGTTTGCATCTCAGTGCAGTTAGATGGTACTATCTATTTCCCTCTAACAAAGATGGAAAATTCTGCATCTGAAAAATATTTCAGGAAGATGCATTCCATCACCAACATGCCCCATCTTATCCTCTGTTAAGCTGAGGGTGGAGAGAAAGGCAGTCCTTATGTATCTGTGATGAAGATTTTTGCAGAGAGATTGGATTCAATATAACACCAGGAAATAATTATAGCCCACAGGGGATCTCACAATGGAATGTTATTAAGCGATCACCTGCAATTCTTTTGGAGACTTAGGCTCGATTAAAGGGAAGAAAGGGCTGGGGCTGAGATGTAATGGAGCTGACAGCCTGCAGAGAGCAATGCTTGGCCTAGGCACGCACTTCCCAATGGGTTTAACACTTTCTTCACAGAAAAGTTGCTACTCACTGCTCAGTTTCTTGATAGTGAGTTATGTTGCCCTTAGCCATGTGGTTTTCCCAAGATGCTGGGATGTGTCGGGCTGGCAGATGGTCCAGGGCTTTACACTGCAGACTTGCTTCTCATCTTAAAAATGAAATATTTTTCCTCCTTTGCAATTGTTTCTCTCCATATCAAACATTGTTTCTCCACAGGTTACCAGTTCCAATGTGACACGTCTGCAATGACCGATATTGTCCTGCTTGTGGATGGATCATGGAGCATTGGGCGCAACAATTTCAAGCTCATTAAAGACTTCCTGAGCGCTTTAATTTCCCCATTCAATATTGCCCAAGACAAGATAAGAGTAGGTAGGAGTCTTCCCTGTTTCCTGACCTTGGGAAATGCCTCCAGAAGGGACCTTGGTCTCTATTTCTGTGTTATCGTGCTGCCCTAGGGAGTTTTATTCCTTTTGGCTGGATTCTGTGCATCGATCTTGACAACTTTCCCATCTGGTAGCAAGCTCTGGCCTCTAGCGGCTGTACGAAAGAGCTGCATGGTGAACAAAAGCAATGTGTGAGCAGCAGCAGGCTGAGTGTTGGGGGAGCACACAATTGATGCTGAGATATGCTTGGAGTTTGCTGTCTCCCTCTGATGGGGTGCTCACCCTACAGAGTATGACACAAAGGTGGGCTGGCAATGCCACACTGGGGTTTCTTTGATCTCAGCTGAGAACAGAGCTACTTCCAGCTCTGAGGGATGCTGAACCCAGTTCTGAGGGATGCCAAACCCAGTGGATGGCACTGGCTAGGCTGTGTGTGAAACAGGGCAACATAAATCCTTCCTGTTCCTTGCAGCTAGCTAGTTTGTTCTTGAATTACTCCGAGACCTTAAAATGCTTCAGAGCACCACTCAGAGGTTACTACCACCATGGGGAAAAGTGGAGTTAGGAGCCAGGTCTGCTCACTCCCTTTCCAATTCATTACTTTGTGTCATCCGCCCATGACAAGCCCAACACCTCCTCCTCAAAACAGGTCTCCTCTTGCCAGCCTACCTTGGCTCGCACAGTGTCCATAGCTCTTGCCTTCCCCAGGGCTGTCCCAGTACAGCAGCGATCCCCGCACAGAGTGGGATCTGAGTGCTTATGCAACGAGGGACCAGGTGCTGGAGGCAGTGAGGAACCTGCGCTACAAGGGTGGCAACACCTTCACAGGTAACTCCATCTCTCAGATCACAGCAAGTCTGCGTTGGGGGAAGTTGTTCCAATGGGATAGCATCTTCCCTGGGGGACAAAGTGAATGAGGGAAGGATAAAGGTGGAGAAAAGATAAAGTCTGTTGGCTGTAGCTCACCATCCATCTGTTCTCCTCTCCAGGCCTGGCGCTCACCCATGTCCTGGAACAAAATCTGAAGCCAGATGCTGGTGCCCGACTGGAAGCTGAGAAATTGGTAATCCTCCTGACTGATGGAAAATCCCAGGATGACGCCAGCCTGGCAGCTCAGACCTTGAAAAACGTGGGCATAGAGATATTTGCTATTGGTAAGATCACAGACATCAAGCCAACTTACCTTCCCTCTTCATGCTGAAGCTTATGTTCTCTCAACGAGGACAAGAACATCCTGAAGCTGTAAAGCTAAGGTAGCAAGTAGGACTGTATTGCAGTGGGGCTGAGAAGAAAAATAAGCACAGGTAGTGTCTTCAAATGAGATTTTGTTAGCTTAAGGAAAAAAACACTCATTCTCAAGAGATTTTACACCTTCTGTCTATAAAGACCTTTGCCAGTCTCAGCAAACTGTGCCATGAGAATAGTATTCTCTGCTGTGGAATTAGGCAAGAGAATTTTGTAATTATTTTGTAATTGCTGTCTCTCAGAACTTCCAGTTTTTCTGAATAATAGCATTATCTGCTTTTTACTGTCTGGTAGCAATAATGAGACAAAAAATGGCTTCAAGCAGCTCTGTCCTCGATGACTACACAAGTCTGCTAAAGGGTAACGCACAGACAATAAAGTTATGCAGAACACTCTCCTAAAACTGCAACCTCCAGCACTTTATGTGCTTATTTAAGTTGGGAACACACAAGCAAGGCTTTATTACATACAAGTATGTACATAGTTGGCTATCACTTGGATTTCTTTCATGGACTGAGTGTAGCTGCTGAGCCTCAGCTGTGTGCTGGACTGTGCAGCTGAAATAACTTGCAGGTCAGGTCCCAGCTGGAGTCTGTGCTTCCCCTTTCTTACTCAAGGAAGGTTGTGTTGTTTGGTCCTGAGAATGAATTAATCCCAAGACACCTTAGTTCTCACCACAAGAGGAAAGGGAGAAGGACCCCTGCCTCACCTGGGCAGTGCTAAGATGGCCTAAAGGCTAGCACTGGAAAACAAAATCAGCTGTCTGCTGTTGATCCCCACAACCAACATCCAAGCAGAAGGCAGAAGTTGTCCTCTAAAGGAGCTTCCTCAGCCCTGTGCTCTGCTGTCTGTAGGGGTGAAGAACGCAGATGAGGCTGAGCTGAAGCAGGTGGCCTCAGAGCCACTGGAGCTCACAGTGTACAACGTGCTGGACTTCCCCCTGCTCAGCTCCCTGGTTGGCAGGCTCACCCGGGTCCTCTGCAGCAGGATCAAAGAGAGGAGCAGCAAGGAGAGTGCAGGTGAGGTGAAACCTTGGTGATGATGAGCTTTCTCCTGCTTAACGTCAGCTTTCCTTGCCATCAAAAAATCTCCTTTCTCAACATCCTTTCTTGTACCTTTCCCTCCATGAGCTCCACCACCTCCTCAGCACCATCTGACTCTTCTTTCCTGTGCTGATCTCCCTGCTCAGTGCTATTGCTGCCTGAAAGTAGTCCTTGCCAACATTTTGGCCAGGTTCAGCTGTGATCTTGGTGTTTACAAGACTCTCTGGATGCAGCTCTTCCAGCCTCACTCCCTGCTGTTGTGAACAAGCCATGGAGGGACTTGCAGGTGTTTCTATTCACTTGCTCTTGATTTAGGTATCTGCTCTTATCCTTGCCAATATGGGCAACAGCCATCCTCACCAGGGCCTTGGATACCTTTTGGTGGCTGTAAATCACTTAATGGCAATAACTAGCATTGTAGGCTTCTATTCTACATTTTTGTTATTTTACTGTGTGAAAAATGCGTTGCAATCATTTTTTCTCTGCATTTCTTTCAATCAACAGGAGGAATTCAACACGAAAGAGCTAATTTGAGAATATAGTAGTTGTATGGAAGAAATCTGGAAGTAGGAAGAGGAGACAGCAAAGCATCTAAACACTTTTTTTTTCCTTGCACTTTATATAATCTCTGAGGCATCTTCAAATCAAAACCAAACACTTGATTTCTTTTCGTTTTTTTTTGCTGGAGGGCAGTTTGCATGATGTACAAGAGAGTGAAGAACGACTCCAGATGTTAGCTTAGATCCTCAGGAGAAATATCACGTACACATTTCCATCTCTCTCTTCTCTCAGACTTGCCTAGGGAGAATGGGAAAGCAAACTTTCAAGCATACATTTATTTTAATGTTCTGTGGATAGACGTAGACATAATTTGATTCGTTCTTATTAATTTGTACCTGTTTGATGTAATTGGGCATCTTTTTACAGGTACAGGTTAGCCTAAAGAAAGATGGTTGCATCGAAAAAGAAGCCAAAATAACTTCTGGTTCATTTTGACAGATCTTCATAATTGAAAAAAAAAGCTGGGTCGTGTTTTGGATGCAGGCAAAAATGCATATTTCTGTTGAAAAGAATATTCTCAGCAACCAGAAGTATGCAGAAATTATTCTCGATGGAGTATTTATGTTCTCTGTTTGCTCAGTTCTTAACTATTTATTTTACAGCAGTTTGGAACAGTTTCTCAGCTCTGTAGGGAAGGGGACTGCAATTTGACTTAAAAAATGGCAGTCGTATTTATGAGCTAGGAAGTATATTTGGTATGAGAATCTGAATACAAGAAAGTAACCGTGTTTTTAATTCCCAGGTAGAACTGTGAAAGATGTCCCTACAAATACAGGTCCACAGCTGAGCCCAACAGACCTTAAAATATCAGCTGTGACTTCTAAAAGCATGCACTTGGCCTGGAGTCCTCCTCTGAGTCCACCAAAGAAATACCGCGTTGTGTACAACCCATCGAAGGGCGGCACTCCCAAGGAGGTAAGAGGTACCTGTTGGACACTGCAGTGCCTTCCAGTCAGTGGCTGGGAATTCAGGCAGACCTGGGTATGCAGAGCGATGAGGGTAGGAGTGCATTGAGCACAGGATATCAGCTAAAGCCAGGGATGAAACTGAACACTGAGTGCAAATGTGACGAGGTGATAGGATGGCAAGGCAGAAGAGGAAATTGGGTAAATACTGTGTTGCTAGAACTACTGCAAGTTATACCCATGCAGTTTTCTCTTGCACAGTGTTATCCCCTCCCTAAGGCACCTCAAAGAACACACATAATGGTGTTCAAGGATGCTCATTGGTGACAGATAGAATCAGAAAAGCAAATCCAAACACTTGGATTGTCCTTAATTATACACTTCAACTTTTGGTTAGCCCTGAAGTGGTGAGACAGTTGGGCTTGAGTATCAGTCAGGTCCCTTCCAACTGAAACTGTCAATCATGGAATCGCGTTCTGTCCCATTCACTGCAGTGAGAGCATGACTGGGGTCTTGTGCTATGTGCTTGTACAGATCCAATCCTTCAAGGGCAGGAATGCTTACAGCCTGCTATCTCCATGCTTCCCAGGGAAGACTGCTTCAGCTTTTCCTTTGCCGTGGAGTGGCTGGCACTTCCCAGACTTGACCATGTTCCTTTGTATTTCAGGTGCTTCTGGATGGAGCTGTCTCCTCTCTGTGGCTTTCCAACCTGACCTCGCACACAGAGTACCTGGTGTCGGTGTTTCCCATTTATGACACAGCTGTTGGGGATGGGCTGAGAGGCGTCACCTCCACATGTATGTCGTGAGTAGAGAACATTCCTCTGACATGTGTTTGTGGGAGGTGAACATAGCCCTGCCTTTGCAGCCACCTCATTCTGGAGCCTGGCACTATATATTCCCCCTCCCTTTGGTTCAGAAGGTTTGTCTGCAAATCTCTCCATCTCTGGAGATGTTCAGAACTTGGTTGGACAAGGGCCTGAGTAACCTCCTCTAATTTGGCTCATCAGGGTTGGACCAGAGATCCTCAAGTGTCCCATTCCACCTATGTCATTCTGCAAGTGACACCAGTGTGCCGAGCTCAACCTGCTAACACACCCCAAACAGAAATTTTCTACAACCCTTGTTCCTTTTCCACCCTTGGGCTGTAAATGAACTAATCCTACTCCTTGACAAGTGGCTGTGTTAGATGCAGGTCGGGTGTCCCCCAGCTTGTTGTAAAGCCAACTCTCCTCCGGGGCTGGAGCTGCTGCAGACCTGCTGAAAGTGTCTTTCTGCCACATTTCTCTCCCAGTGCCTCTGTCTGCCCCCCGCTCCCTGCGTGTCTCCGAGCTGAGCCACAACAGCATCAGGCTGAGCTGGAAGGCAGCCCAGGGAGCCACGCAGTACCTGGTGCTCTGCTCTGCAGCCCCCGATGGAGCAGAGGATGATACAACAGAGGTACGCTCCATGAGAATGGTGGCAATACTGCTTTTCCTTTGTCTCTCCTCAGTTAAAGAGTCCAAAATCAGTGCCTGTCTCTCTGTGTGGGGTTGAGTTCTGACAATACCATACAGAGCAGACCTGAAGCACAGAAACCTTTGGCAGCCCAGTGGCTGAGTTCACTCTTCTGCAGCCTCAAGAATCACTTCTGCATCCTTGAGACTGCACAGAAATATGTTTGCTTTGCTTATCTTCAAATGCTGACTGAAAATTTGTTAGGGCAGCTTTCACTGACCTCTAAAAGAGAACTGTGGCAGTGTATAAAAAATAAAGCAATGCCAGACGAGTGGAAAATCCTTACAAACTTCTAAGGTGAAGTTCACAATACGAACATTTTAAAGTAAACACTCAAAGTATGAACACTTTAATGAGTCATCAGAAGTGCCAGCATTACAGTGTTCCCAGCCTTTTACAAATCTCTGGCTCTGCTGCATGCAGACTCCTGGAAGTCGCTGGGTCCCTGCAGCAAACAGGCTGTGCAGGGAGGGCTGTGCCGTGCAGTGTTAGCGGCAGGTGGCAGCAGCCCGGCTGCTATGGCCCTGCTTGCAGCAGGCAGCTCTCATGCAACCTTCCCAGGCCATAGAGGAAAGGAGGCTCACCATCTCTCACTTAAAACCTTGCTTTCTTGAAGCCCCTTCCATCCCCTCTCGCTGTGTGACACAGGGATGCTGCACTCTGTGCACACTCTCCTCTCTCCACTGAGTGCTGTAGAATAGTTGGAAATGGGAGAGAACTATGCTTCCTGCTCTGTTGCCTTTCTTCTGGGGGAATTTTCACCAATAATACATATTTTTTTGCACCCTACTATCAGAAATCAACCCCTAGCTTTGTATTTGCAATAGTGGAAGCCACTCTGCTTTTTACATCCATACTCATCTTTTCATTATAAGGTATTTCCCAGGAAAATCTCAATATTTTCCTTACAAAAAATGTCATGTTTGAACTTACTTCAGGTACCCTGATCCAACCCAGAATAATAGTATCACCTCTGTATGAGAGATATACCTCTGCAGGCCCTGGGAGGAGAAATGGATGTGAGCCCTCAATGTACTTGGTGTCCCCTGGGGAGGGAGGGAGGCAGAGAAGCTCTGACAGTACAAAGCACATGTCCAAGTGGATATTAGAGGGCAGCCCAGAATGGAAGGGTGTCCTAGAACTGAAGTGTTCCCCAGGACTGAGAGGTACCCAGAACTGAAATGTCTCCCTGAATTTCTCCTGTGACAGATGAAGGTGGCTGAGCCCGAGGTCCTTCTGGACAGGCTGTCACCCAGCACTGAGTACTCCATTGCAGTGTATGCATTGTATGGGGAAGATGCCAGTGATCCAGCCAGCATCCAGGAAACCACCTGTAAGTGCTGCTGTTGGTTAAGTTGTTTTTAAACACTCAAGGTGGGAGAGATTAAATAAGTTAGGGGTTTCTTGTATTGTGCCTGTGGCTTGTAAATCCTGCCTTTTCTTAATACTGGTCCCTAAGATGGTCTCTAATCACCTGGTGAGCTGTGAAGCAGTGATTCCCCCTGTTAAAAGAGGACTCCTAAAGGGACTGTTCCTTAAGATCTTTTTGTCTGGGGAGAAAGGAGGAATTTCTTGGCCATTTCTTCACCTAAAGCGCAGATAGCATTCCATGACATACCACAGAATGAGAATTATTTTGAGTCTTCTAGTTCAAGATGGAGTCACTCGCAAGTAGCAGGAGGCAACAAGCAGCGTTTCTTTGGTGCAGCCTTTCAAACCCTGAGTGCTGTCACTCACTGTGTTGCAGTGGCCTTGAGCCCTCCCAGGTACCTGAGCTTCTCAGAGCTCAGCCACTCATCCGTGCGGGTCAGCTGGGAGCCAGCAACACTGGCAGTGAAAGGTCATCGTGTCACCTACGTGTCTAGCAGAGGGAGCAACACTGGGGAGGTGAGTCCTCAGGGGCTGCTGGAGGGAGAGCTGGGAGGTCACACACTGCCCTGTTCTCTCTGGTGCATGAAGGGAGTGTTATCTCTGAAACGGGCACTTCTGAGGGATGTGCGAAGCTCTCTGCAGCTGTCTCCATGTTCTTTTCTCCCAACTCATCCCGTTCCATTGCAGGTTGAAGTTCTTGGCACTGCAGTGTCCACTGTCCTGAGACCACTGTCCTCCCTCACCCAGTACTTCATCAGTGTCCGATCTGTGTATGATGAGGGTGACTCCTTTCCAATCACTGGCAATGTCACCACTTGTAAGTAGGCAGTGGAAATGGTTTCTTTCCTATTGACCAAACTGTACTACGTGTGCCTAAACTGAGATGTTTTCAATGCTGGTCCCAGCAGCTTATGGCCAAGATCCCTGTACAAAACTGGTGACTGTTGGAATATGCCCCACTCTGTTATGTTAATAATAGAGGTGAAGCAATAAAGGAAGAAAGCAAACTACATACTGCTAACCTCTGTGTCCTTGGGAGCCTTCTCCCCTTTGCAGTATCAGAGTGATACATACCCTCTCCACAAATGAAATAATCCTCCTTAATTAGGGTTTTGAAAACAGCGTTCTCCCCTCTGTCCTGATGGCTGTTGCCATTTGGATCAGAAGAAGTGAAAGACAGACTGATCTCAGACAGCTGCCTGGCCGATGCTCTGCTTCCCAACCATCTGCTCCCCACCTCAGCTCTGACAAGGCGCTGTCAGGGCTTCAGCTCGTTGTCCTCCTGCATCCCTCAGTGAAGGTCCCCCCGCCGCGGGCGCTGAAGGTTTCTGAGCTCTCTGAGAACAGCCTCCGGCTGCACTGGGAAGCTGTCGCTGCCTCTGATGTGGTTGTCTATCAGATCAAGTGGAGCACAGCTGGTGGAGAGAAGCCTCAGGAGGTACGGACCCACGTACAGCCGGGTTGGGTTTGTGTCTGCTGGATGGATACTGGTTGGGTATTAGGAAAAATTTATTCTCAAAAAGAATGATCAGACCTTGGAATGGGCTGCCTAGGGGAGGTGGTGCAGTCACTGTCCCTGGAGGTGTTCAGGAAGAGGGAAGATGTGGCACTGACGTGGTTTAGTTGGCATGGTGGCAATGGGCTGTTGGTCCTACTTAATGATCTTAGCGGTCTTTCCAACCTTAATGATTCTATGGCGGCTCTGTGCTGACCTGCAAGAGTGGCAGAGTTGTAGTTCAGCTTGGGTTCATGCACTCAGGACCTTCAGCACTAAGACAGGATCTATCCCACACTGTCTCTGCTGAGTGCTGTAGTCACCTTGAATGCTGGAAGCAGGAGGGACATCAGGATAGCAGGTTTGGAGTCCTGCAGGCTCTGGGAAGATTGCAGAAGTGCTCTGGAAAAACTCAAGGATGAAATTCAATAGGGACAAACAAAGTATTAAGCTTAGGTAGGAATAATTAAAGACAGGTATACAGGATGTAGAACAAACAGCTAAGAAGCGATTCAGTAGAAAAAGATCTGGGGTTGCAGAGAATCACTGGCCCACAATGTCAAGTCGTTGTGGAAAAGATAAGCACAGTAGTCAGGTATTTGTAGTGGTGGTAAGTCCTGACTGCTGTGGGGACAGTACTCCTCAGGAAGGATGAGGTCTTAAGAACCAGAGAAGATTGATCACAATCAGAGCTGATGCAGTAGGAGTAGGGATGGACCAGGTGACCTATTCTATCCCAAGCCCCTATTTTCACAGTGAATACCCCCACTGCCCTTCACATTTAGGCTGGAATAGGGATATATTGGAGCTTCTATGCACCTGTATGGGAACTGCTGAGTCACGGCCTGAACCTCTGATTAATCACCTGAGGTGAGCCTTGAGTCAGCCAGGGGAGCACAGGTGAAGGCAATTCACCTGTGCTGCCGGAAGGGGTGGAGCCAGGCTCCACCCCTCCTGGACCTATTTAAGAGCTGGCTACCAGAGGGGAAGGATCTCTTCTGGAGATCCCCTCTTTTGGTATCTTCTGGTGAGCTCAACCCAAGGGTAAGCTCTTCCACTTATTCTCTTTTTGTGATCGTTGTCTGCTTTGCCTTACTCTCTTGATTATATTGCAATTATAACATCTTGATATCTATTGATTATACACAATTGTATTGTGACTATAACATCTTGGTTGTACAGCACCATATATCTAAAAGATGGGAACTGAGCAGAGATATTTCATGCTCATAGCAGGCAGACTGCCTTGTACCAGAGACTCTATGTTGTGGGACAGAAGTAGCTATTAAGTACAACTGGCTAGCAATGGGCATCCACTCTGCATTCATTAGGGCTGGAAATTTGCCTTTGCTTGGATTTGTGCAACCCACAAGAGTCACAGCCCTGTGCTAACTCATTTGTGCCTGCAGGCAGTCTGTGAGCCAGACACTGGGATGGCATGAACTAGCTTAGGGAAGCCTGGGAATTCAACTGACTCATTTCTTGCCCTGCTTCAGCTCTCCATCGCTGGAAATGTGGCAACTGCTATCCTGCCTGGATTGCAGAAGAACACAGACTACAAAATATCCATCTGGGCCTACTACAAAGATGGTGCTCGAAGTGACACGGTTTCCATTCAGCACAGAACCAGTAAGTGATCAGCTCTCTGTCTCTACAGCCTAGTGAAAACAAAGAGGGTGCAGGATGCCTCAGACCCAGGCACAAGGCAGGAGCTCAGATCTGGTCATCTGCAGCTATGAAAACCCAGACCTGGATATCTAAATGTGGCTGGAGATATTTAGGCTCCCATACTAACATTCTGAATTTCTCCTGATGAAAATATACTGGGCAAGCATGAACTGGGTGGTACATTTCTTTCTCCTTTTGTAGCATGTATCGATGTGAGTGCATGGGCTTTTTGTTGGATGTTGAGCTGAATATGTCACTGTGCTGCCTAATGAATATTTCCTGTTAGTAAAATATTGTCTGCTAAGGAAGGTGTGGGTTTCTCCAGCTACATCATTGCTGAGCTGTGCTTCATCTGAGGGCACTTGCAAAAATAACAGAGAATCCTTCAGGCAGACTCTGCGTGGAGGCATTATCTAAATCTTGCTTTGTCCAGGCAGGATATGAGGTTAAAAAGCGGTACTCCCAGAGGTCCTCTTAATTAATATTGCCTGTATAATGGCTTTGTTGGCAGCAAATGGAATACAATTCATTCAGTAGTGGCAATCCTCTCTTCCTTCTCTCAGCTCTCAACCTCCTTTGCAGAATGAAGTCTTTCAGGCTGGTGGTGAGCTGATGAAGCTCAGAGTAAATGGCAATCCTGGAACGAGAAGCTCAGGTTTTATTAATAATGAATAATAACAACTTTTGTTTATAGAAAGCTACCTCAGGCAAGTACCTAGGAGATGCATGCCAACAAGAACAAATAAAAAATGAAAGCATCCTACAGCTCTGTGAGAAAAATGAGAGCTATTTAGAGGTTTCAGAAAAACGAATAGCTGTTTTAAAGCTTGAAGTACAAAATGTCAAAGCTGCTTCTTCAACCCACTGCCAATGGCATGTGATGGTGTTCTTCTCAGCTTATTCAAGCAAACCAATCCTTGCTGGCATTGGCTTCTGCTTGTCAGCTGCTGTTCTTGTTCAGGAACAGGGATGCATTAGGGACATCAGCCTTCACATCACTGGGATGCATGGGCATCCATCCTCAAGGCTGTGTAACACAGGAGGGCTGGTAATGCTCTTCCATGGACCCAGTCCCTCACTACCATTGCAATGAATGGAGCACTTCTTCTCAAGTCTTAGTCTCAACTAGAAAAAATAAGATGTTTAGGGATATTTTTTGAGCAGAACAGTTAAGCAAGTCCTTCTCTGCAGACTTACCAGAAGGCACAGTAGGAGCAACAGCACGTTGGTGTATTTCCCACAGATAACTAATTTGTTACCATGTACTTACCTGCAGTTCTGATATACCTTCTTGTCTCTGATATATTTAGATTCAAGGCTTATTTGTGTCAAGAACTCTCCTCTCATTATGTTCCTATAAATGATCTAGCATAACAAAGTCTTTGTCCTTGACTAAAGGCTCTATGCAGCACTCCTCTGTCATATTAATAAACAAGACTTGTGGTACTTCTGATGGACACAAACCTTGCACCCATCTAGTGGGAGTGTGCAGGATGCTCTCTGGGAGAGGAAGCTGCTGAGAAGTAGCCCTTGGCTGCTGAGCAGGAGTCCTTGGGAGACACTGGAAGTGGTTGCTTTTGTTTTCGCTGAGAAGCTGGTAGGGACCTCTCTGTTATAGAGAAGAAAAAGAGCTTAAACAAAATAGGTCACCTGTTTTGTCCTGGAGGATAAAGGGGGGGGGGATCCTCTGTCTGTGGTATCTGCTATGTAGCATTCGTTATTTAGCAGAATCTTTCTGCCCCTGTGTGAGTGCATTTCATCCTCTGCAGCACAAAGAGCAAAAGGGCAGTCTGGAGGGAGTGCTGCTAACGCTGGGCTGAGCCTCCTGGGCTGATTCTGTGCTGAAGTGGATTACAGAGTGCTTATGTGTCCCATTCCTCCAGCAGAGCTGTGCCAGAAGTGTCTGCACATTCTTCCTCCTGCTCCTCTGTGAGCTCACACTGCAAACAAAAGGGGTTGAAATTTAGGGAAGAAACTTCAACCCGTGGTACCAAGGAAACAACTATAACCTGTACAGTCACTGCAGATGGGTGTTGTGATGGAGCAGACTCCAGAGCTGTACTTTTACTTGGAATTTAGTCTGTGATTCTGGCTAGACCTGAAAACAAGTAGCCCAGGATTCCCCCTGCAGAGGAACAGGAGGTAACAGAAGCACAGATGGTGCCCTAGGTGTCAGAGATGTTTCCACCCCACATGGGCAGCTCCAGGAGGTGACCTTTCCCCTGGCTGTCACATCCATGCTGTCAGACTGTGCCCAGCCCGGGGGGCTTTCCAGAACAAACTCAATTTGGAAGACTTCACTTAACTTTCCTTTTGTTCATTTAAACAGTCACCGCTTACATCAGCTGAATGAAATAGCCAGTGCAGACAGCAAAGATGCAGAGGTATGGCACAGCACTAAGAATAGCAATGTTGAAATGACTTTTCCTCCCACACTTGTTTTCTTCTCTTCTTTACCTTGCGGTGATGCACAGCAACAGCCTCCAGCCTGATTCAGCTCTGCAAAAACTTGGTTCAGCTTCAGTAAAAGTAGGCTCGTTTTGTCCAGAAAAGGGAAGGAGGATCAATGAAGATGCAAATAATCTTCATTCAACATGTGCTCTAAGGTCACCTCAGTCTTTGCTGGGTGGGCAGAAGAGCTTGTTTGCATTGCAGGTAAAACTGCAGAATAGAAACTTCATAGCCTGGTTGTGTGTCCTTGGCTGTCCTTCGGACTTGCCCATCATTTGTAGTGTCTTCTGAAGAAGAAGAAAAAAAGCCTACTTTTCACTCTCAAAACCTCTTTTTCTTCACACCAGTGAAGATTCAAGGCCAGATATTTATACAGAGCAAGAAACTACTTAGAAATAAGCTCTTGTAGTAGGTGACCCCATACTCCCATATGTGACTCCCATAACGCTCCATCACAATACCCAACTGCAGTGATTATAGAGGTCATATTTTTTTCCATCATTGCCATGGGCTGAACTTTCTTCCCTAATTTTCAACCTCTTTTGTTTGAAAGTGGATGGATTCAGCTCCCTCTGTCTTTCTCTTAATAACCCTCAGCCCCTGCTCAGAGAAGTCGCTCTTTGACTATCTCTGTTGCCAGGTCCAGCTTGCTACACAGTGGTATTCCAGGGAAGAAATGCATTTATGTAATTAAGATATGCTCTGTTTTGGTCTCTGGCAAACCCTGTTCTTGCTGACCACAGCTCAGGCCGTCACCCATTTAGGATCCATCCATCCACTGTGGTGCAGGGCCAGGAACAGGAGAGCAGCTCAGGCTTTGTGCATGATCTTTTCCTGGGGCTGTGGGTGCTGAGTGAGAAGTGTTAGACAAACTGCTGTGTGCTGGCTGCTCTGTGTGATTTTTTTCTTTAAAGGATAATTTTAAAGCAAAGGCCAAGCTGAGAAATAGTAGAAATGATGATGCATTAGCTTTGATCCAGGCTTAACCAGCAATCAAGCCTTTTCTCCAGCGTGTCTTCAGGTCTTTGATGAGATACAAGAACAATTTGGTCTTTCTGAAGGGTATTTTGTGTTTGTCCATGATGCATCCAAAGGATCTTTTTTTTCCTCATGCCTTCAGGACTCTTCTCTCCACCAAATATTCTTTTTTTTTCCCCCAGGACCTAGGCTTTGAATTACTGAATGCTTGAGTTGTACCATGTTGTCTCAGGCAGTACTCATCCTCATTCCTCCAGACTCTATTTTCTCCCCTGCCTGGTCCCTAAGGTGGCTGCTTCTGCTCCATTCTGCACATTAACAAAGCATTGGGGAAAGGACATGGAAGCAAGCACTGCTGGCCCTGATTTCAGACTTCACTATCTGACTTTAATGCTATTCCCATTTAATCCCTGCACAGCTTCTCGGAGCCCACCCACCAACCTCTTCATAGACTCTGAGAGCCCCACCAGCCTCCAGATCCATTGGAAGCCCCCCGAGGGCCGCATACAGCACTACAGAATCACCTACAGTCCTGTTTCTGACCCCAGCACCCAGCAAACAGTAAGTTCAGCTCTTTGGCAGGTGGGACAGAGGGACTGTTTCATGGCTAACAGCGTGCTGTTCACTCCAATAGGTTTTCTCTATCAAGAATTAGTTTGCGTGAGAACAAAACCAAATTTCTTCCTTTGACTTGCTGTCAGTGTGCTGTGAAGACTTCCTTCTGATTCAGGCTTCCTTCTGATCCACTTTTCAGTGTCCATCAAAGCTGCAAATAACACAGCTTTCTCCTCTCCCTGAAACAGAGTGGGGAATTCCAAGAGGCAGAGTGGTAGAGGGTAACTCTACTGCCCACCTGATTTGACAGGTTAACAGTTAACCTTTTACAGTGAACATTTGCCACAGCAACCCAAACTGGTGACCACATTTTAAGGATCTTTTGACCCATCTACAAGGGGTACATTAAGGTCTTTACTTAAGAAAACACTCTTTCCCTGAACACAATAGTTCTGTTGGCAGTGCATAGTCAGGCTTCCACAGTTTCCTTTTATCATTCCCTAACCAATGGGGATGCTGCCCTGGAACTCACTGCTAGAAATCCTCAGAGCAGCCCCAGGGTGTGGATAAAAGCCAACCTCTGGGTTGTTTTCTATTTTCCATCCTGCTGTAGATCATGGCTTCTGGGAAAAGCAGCAGTGTGACCTTGCAGCCGCTGCTGCCCGATCGAGCCTACAAGGTGGCAGTTTCTGCTGTCCACTACACAGGAGAGAGCGAGAGCACAACTGCAACGGGTCGGACGGGTGAGTGCATCCATCAGTACATGCAGCTTCATCAGCTGTCGTCTATCAGGCTTGGTGTAACCTCTCCAGGGAAAGCATTGCCCTTTTATGCGCTGAGCTGTGGCTGTGGCCAAGGTTTTGCTCAGCAAATTGCAAAAAGCCTGGAAAAGGGAAAATCCTGCCCCAGTTTCTGCCCGTCCCATGTATAATTCCAGGATGAATGGGGAGGGTTGGTGACCATACGAGTCTTGAGCCAAGTGTCACTGTTCTGAGCAGCAGAGCTCACACACACACTGCTTTCTCTTGCAGCTCCTGTGATGTCTAAACTGCCTTCAATACGAGGATTTGTTCCATCTAAGACAGAAGGTAAATCATCTGCTATAATGTCTGGCATTAGTATTTTTTTTTTCCCCCAGTAACAAATAGCACAGTGTGGATCCCTGAGGACAGGCAGCAGTGGGTATGTCTCTTCTTGACAGATGCCTCTGGGTCCTGAGAATCTGTCCAAGAAGAGCCTGGAACCACATAGCCTTAAAAGCAGACTCACTCAGTAGAGAGTCTGGTAGGATATTTAAAGGGTTTCTGCATATCTTGACCAAAATGGAGCAAAGAGAACGATGACATGTTTTAAATTAAAGTTCCTTGTAAAGTCCCTTATTAAATTTAATGAGCATATGTTCTCCTAGCTGGTACAAAGCAAAATATTAAGTGGATTAAGGAGAAATGTTGAATTAGCAGGGTTATAAGAAGCTGCTAAGAAGCAAATGTTAGAATACATGTATTGTGGCATTAATGCCTTTTCCTGTCTATGTGAAATGATTCCAAACAAAATCTCAGCTTTAAAGTTTGTTGAGAGAAGCCAAGAAGGGAGAACAATGCAGATTAGATGAGTATGTTTTAGAATGTACCCGGCAAAGAAAATATCAGACACAATTTTCTGTGGCTTATTGAGGAAATGTGCAGGTGTGCAGATCACAGAGGAACAGTCCTGTGAACCTTCAGCTGGAAAACAATCCCCCCATAAGGCTGATGGAAAATGTAGCGTGTATGGCTATAATAGCTGAAAAGGTAACAGGAGAAACATTAAATTCTGCGTGTTTCATAACATGAATTATTTGAAGGAGTGGAGATGATATGTAATAATGTTGGGAAAACTGTTGCAGTAAAAAAATCTGATTTTAATAAGCAGTCATGTTGCTGAGGGAAGTGGTCTGAGCTGTTGTGGGAGGGGATGTTGTACAGTAACTGCGTTCCTCTGGGACCTGGGGAGAGAAGCACAAAGCAAAGAGAACAACAAGACGGCAGGAATCCTATGCTGGGAGGCCTCGGAAAAATCTTCAAAGCAAAATGCAGGCTGTCACTGACAGGGATCCTTCACCCTGACTCCGAGGTGCTCTGTGTAAGCTGAGCATTGCCAGATCAAAGAGCTGTGAGCAGTGAGAGTGCTGGGAGGGAGGTTAGAAGGGGTCTTCCTGACCCCCCAGCAAGGAAGTTGGATACCTGGCAAACAGGCAGGACTGCAGCCTGTCAGTGTGATGTTGGAGGGAATTATGTTTTCTTCATCATACTTCGGTTCTCAGCGATGCTTTGCATTTGAAAATCTGTTCTGTTTGTGTAAGGGGAAGGCAAGGAGCAGTGGTATGGCTTGTAGATGTAGACTGCTTGTAGGCTTTAGCAGTCGTATGACCATCATTGCTTTGGGTGCCTTTTCTTTTTGCATATGACTTGACTATGAATAATCGTGTTGAATGACTTAGGAAGCTCAGCTGCCATGTGGAGGATGACACCCCTCTGTTGTTAGAAAAGTCAGACAGTTGTAAGCCCTGCATTTCTCCTGAGGTGTGAACTGACACTGATGCAAGAATAGAAATATAAAAGTTATAATGAAGCCTCAGTGATGATCTATTGGCTTCTATTTTACTGGTGACCTAGAAAATCACTTATGAAATAGCCCATCTTGTCAAGTGTCCTTGATTTTCAGGGACATGTCTCACTTTGCATCAAGCATCTCCTTTGTCCCAGCTCCATCTGGCAGCCATGACCTGGCTGTACATAATTGAAAATAGCATTCATGTGCTGCTTTCTAAAGCACCCCCTTACTTGAGCCAGTTACATGGGGATGCTCATAACCATGGTGCCTCTCATTGCAGCCCGTTCTCCCCACCACCCCCTGATGCTGCTTTCTGCCTTGTGGCTAAAGGATTCATCAAGTGAGTTTCTGGCAAAGGACCTGCGAAACTTTGCCAAAACACAATTTGTGTTTCTCAAGTGCGAAGAAGAGCAAAAAACTGTCGTACAAATGGAGAAATGTAACAGGAATGTTGCAATAAGTCAAAGCCTGGTCATATGCCATACAAAAGCCACATCACTGCTCATGTGCAGCACTGCATCTTTACTCCCTTTCTAGCTATTTAAAAAAAAAAAATCAGGTTGATGCTTGAGTTTTTGTTGTCTTTTGAGTTTTATGTGCAATATTTAGAATGAAGATATGCTTATTTATTTTTCAGGCTACTAAGGTGCATGTTTCAGTAAAAGCACCATTTAAAAAAATAGTGTTTTTTATGACTGCTTCCAAAAAGAAGCTTGAAGAAAATGATGTTCCCTTGTGTTTCATATCACCAGGTGACAGATGATTCAGTGAAAAGAAAGTGATCATGAGGATGTTTGATGATGAAAGACGGTATTTTATTTTTTCGTGATGAATAAGACAAGGAAGAACTTTTATGTTAGCATAAACATAAATTCTCTCCCTCTCTCCGTTTATCTGAACAAGGTTCTGGCCAGACTGTGACTTAAGCTGTATAATATTACAGTACTCACTGTGTTTTGCTGTATTTTCCATTGCTCAGCCCATAGGAACTGCATCAATTTTGCTTTACTAATCCCCTACTCCCTTTCTTCCCTCATTTTTTCCCCTTCTGTTCCATTCCCACAGCCTGTCCCCCCATCAGCTCTTCTGCAGGCTCCGTACGAGGTACAGTATCATACCTAAACCTTTGCTGGGAATGTGCAAACAGTGTCTCATCTTGGCTTTTTTTCAAGAAATATACAACAGCTGAGCAAGGTGGAATTCTTTCCCTGCCCTGAGGGAAAGGGGAAAAGTCTGAGAATGAAATAGGGAAGCACTCTATATCAGGTAAGACCTGAGACCCTTCAAACACTGACGCTGAAGACCACTTTTCAAGCTGAGGGGGAAGAGAGAGAGCTATGGCCCCAGTTTGTAATGGCTGGAGTGTATTCATACAGTATGGACAACAGGGGTTCAAGGGTTGCTGAGCCATAGGCTTGACCCTTGTCCTCGCCTGCACCCAGAGCAGTTGCTCTTCTCATCAGAGTTTGGGCTGTTATTGCGTGAGTCTGTCTGTGCTGCTTGAGCAATCTGCCTTTATGTGAATAATTGTTCACTAGGTGCAAGGCAGAGGATGAATGTGTTGCTTAGGGCACTTACTTGAGGCCTGGGACAGCCTGCTTGCTTCCTTGCTCCAGTGAATATACAAAGAAAAATGCGTGCAGTGGGATGGGACCAAATGGGGCAGACAGGAAAAGGTGCACTGGGAGACTGAGCTGTAATGGTTTGCATCTGACACACAGGTTACTGAAGAGAATAATGCTGTTAGGTTACAATATGGTTATAATTGTGAATTGAGCTTTGTTGTCAGTCTTTACACCATTGTGTTTCATGCATGCTATAATGGAATCCTAGTGCCAGGAGCCCCATGTTGCAGATAAATGGCTCGCAAGTGGGTCATTTCTTCTGGAAAACTCCCTAGTATGTTGGGCAATGAAAACAACTGTTCTCTGGACAAACCTCTATGCAAAATAACCACTCAAGCCAAACAACTGCAGATTACAGTAAATGGTGAAGGGGTGAGGGAATCCAAACTGATAGGACTACATCGTAGTGAAGTTGTATCCCTTCATTTACTGAAGCATGAGCTATCTCCTTCAACCCGGGCTGCTGCAAACTGAGATAAAGTGGAAAAAAAAAAGAATCCAATTTCAAGATCTTGTCTTACCAAATAGAAAACTGAAATGAGAAAATGACTCAGAGCTTTAATGATGAGCCATGAAAGTGAGATGAAGTTGCATGAGCTGAACAGGCGATGTCAGAGATGTCAGGGAAGAGCCTCTCTTTGTAGATCGCATAAGCCGAGCCAACCTCTGAGTGCCTCATGGAAATAGAGAGGAATGGAAATGCTTGTATTTTAAAGTCCTTCCCCAGTATTTCTGACATATAAGGCATATGTTTTCTTACATTTCTTACATATAAAGCATTTCAGAGCAGAAATGATTCCTACTGCCAGCAATCACTGGAGAGATTCCATGTCTTTTAAAGATAATATTTTTGCATCTACTTGAAATGAATGTGGTTTTGGGATGGTGTTTGTTTGTTTGTTTTTTGGGTGGTTTTTTTTTGTTGTTTTTGTTTTTTGTTTTTTTTTTGAGTAATTACAGAATCACAAAATTTCTCACTCGTTTTTCATTCTGGAGATTTGAAAACAAAATTACGGAAGTCTTCAGCTTTACTGTATCTCTCCAAGAGGCGATTGCAGCAGTGGATGATCCAGATGCAAACTATTGCCCTTAGCTGCTACTTGTGGAATATAATCCAGTTTTATACAGAGTCTGTACAGCCTTGCTGATATCTGCGTTCCTAAGTTTTTTTTCTCCTGCTGAGGTCTCCATGCTACCTAGAAGCTTATCCTACCTGCTCTGCCATCCCACTTTTTTGGGGCAGTCTTTCCTAACCACTTCTTTCTCTGCTTTTCTTTGTTCCAGGATTCGATATGATGGAAGCGTTTGGCTTAGTAGAGAAGGAATATGCCTCCATTAAAGGAGTGGCTATGGAGCCATTCGTATTTAGTGGCTCCCGCACCTTCACCCTGTTCAGAGACATTCAGCTCACCCTGAGGACCAGGTGGGAGTGGAGCTGGGACTAGCGTTGTGCTCATCATGGTCCCTGTGCTCACACTGCTGTGTGTCAATGACAAATCCCCTCTGGCAACTTCAAAATGAAATTGTAAAGAGTCAGCTAAACTGAATTGCAGGTAGACTGAGAATAATGCCAGTTTTCCTTAATATATTCAGAAATTAGGCTTGGGTTGGCTGTAAGATGAGTATGGCATACATCTTAGAAGTCAAAAGGACACAATGGGGGCATTCGTTATTCATTTGTGTGCTGCCAAATGTTTTCACGTGGTGAGGGTTTTCCATTTTGCAGAATCCCTTTTTGCAGCAGTGTTGGTTGCTGTGATGGATGTAAGGATTATATCATGTGCAGACTCTGCATGATTCTTTAGGCATTCTGTCCACAGCCGCATACACTTTGGCCATAGCAGTTTGAGGTCATGTCTTCATCTTCAACCCTCCTCCCAGCATCACTAGTTTGGAAACAGAGCTTTGCTTTAGTAAATATTGGTCTCCTAGCTGCTCTCAGCAGCTTGGGCTTTACTTGTTGAGAAGAAATAACCGCTGAGGACTGTGGCCTGACCCCGTTTTCTCTGTGGGTGTCAGGCAGCCAGGCTGCTCCCATGACCTCACTCATTTTTTATGATAATAAATCAGGAACGATCCGACTCCTGACATTCAGTGCTAGTTTGTTTAAAGCCTAATTACTGAGGCTCTGGCTCAGTTTAATCTTAGTTAAAGTAGTAAAGCTTCTTAGAGTGCACAGAGTGATTCAGAAAGTGGTCAAATACTCCAAAAATTGTGGGCAAGTCATTTCACTCAGCTGGCACATATTCCTTTCCAAGGATGTCACTCCACCACAAGCAGAAGGAGAAATAAGAAGCCAATATTACTTATGAATCAGTCCTGAAATGATGCTTGATGAACTGTGTACATGCCCATGCAAATGTCTCATTTCACATTACAGATGTATTCCAGGCATAACCAATTTGACTTTCCTTGTTGCCTTACTGCGTCCTCCCACTGTGCTCCCAGCACGCTCTGAGGGGTTTGGCAGTGGCTGCAGAGGAAGCTGTGCTGTGCCAGGAGCTGCTGATGGGCTTTGCTGCATGCCCACAAGTTCTAGAGCTGAGCTCAAATTTTGCAGCTGGGCTGTGGGGGTTTTCTGGGAGCTCCATGCTTATCTCTGAAGGGCAATTCTAATGATTTCTGCCAAGATTTACCACAGGGTACACAGCCACCATTCCTCTTCCTTTGAAAGAGGTTGCTTGGGAAGAGTCTTGGACTCTGGCAGGATGTCTGATATTTAGTAAGCTCTGTTGTGAAGAGCACAAGGGCTGCCTGCGGTGCTCCCTGGGGCAGCTCTGGCAGTGATGGGCTGACACTGCCTCCTCCACAAGGACGCAGCACTCAGCTCAAGCGCTAGCAGCCTGAGAGGGATGCACAACATAAGGCTGGGTTCTCTCATGGCGTATCACATTCAAACCCCATGGGTGAAGCTTTTCTAGGCTCTTCTTCCCAAGAAACACAAGAGAGCCCCTTCTCTTGAATGTTGTCTTCTGGCATTTGCTGCTCTAAGTCACCAATGCTTCCTTGGCTTGTCTCATTCCAGCGATGTCCACCTCTTTGCCATCCCACCCGAGCACACCATCAGCATCCTCCTGCGCCTCCTTCCTGACACCCCCAAGGAGCCCTTTGCTGTGTGGCAAATAACCGACGAGGACTTCCAGCCCCTCCTTGGTGTTAACCTTGACCGTAAGGTTTCATGTTGAATGTGTTACATTCAGGTATCTGCTAACATTTCTGCAGGCAGCAGACCTCATTTTAGGATTCACTTGGGAAGTGTGGTGGGTTTATGGGCTTTGTTGTGCAGCTGCAGTTTTTGGCTGACATCACATTTTAAAGGCTTCCTAATGCAATTAAAAGCTGCATTTTCGTTGTTATTCTACTTGTAGCATACTCTTTATTTTTAGCTGTTATTTTTGTTTTCCATTGTTTAGAAACATTTGGTTGCGATACATGAGGTTTTCTCACAATGCTGAAGCCTATATATTTTCTGTTGCTCAGTATGTGGTGAAATCAAACTCTCTTTGAATTCTAAAAGCTGTTATTTGTCCTGTTTTTCCCTGTAGCCAGTAAGAAAACCTTGACCTATTTCAATCATGACTACAAGGCTGATTTGCAGGAAGTCTCCTTTGACCAGCAGGAAGTGAAGAAGATATTCTATGGGAGTTTTCATAAGGTCTTTATCAATAAAGGGAGAAATGTAGCTCACGATTTCATCTACTCTGAGACTATTATGCCATCAATGTGTATTGTTCAAAGCAAGGACTGATTATAAGTGCTTTGCATCCAGATTGCTAGGGAGCCAGTGAACCTTTTTCATATGCTGAACATTTTAATTGTAGACTTGACAATTATATAGGTTCATCCTATGTGTAAGACACGTTTCCCACTTATTGATTGCTTCTTAGAATGCACTGCATGATTATGCATTTTTAAAGTACTAATGAGGATGGGTAAATTATGGTCACACATGGTGGCCATTATTTTTACATATAATATGTGGTAGCAACATGAAATGGCATCAAAATAAAATACACACAGTGTATACTAAATCGCTCCCCTTTACAAGGTGTGTGTTTACCATTTCAGTAGTTGTATTGCATGTTCAGATATTTGCTTTACTGAAGATACAGCCTCCCTGCACAAACAGAGTAATTTACTGGTTGGGAGCACTTCATGGACAGCACACTCCTCCAAATCCTTCCCCTTTTTTATTTCCATCCCCAGCCAGTTTATTTATGGGCATGTGCCCTTGTTCCTTCCATAACACACAGTTGTAGAGAAAAGCTCAGACTTGTTATGTGCAGAGCCACTACCTGGGAACGTAATTCAAGGCACCCAAAGCCCTCAAAACTGAACTAAACCTGTGTAATGTAATTGTTTTGTGTTAAATTTGAGAGAGAAAAATATTCTTTCCCCCCATACATCATTACCATTGCTTCACTCATAGTATAGAAATGCTGAGATTGGAGAACTGCGCTAGAAAGTGGTAGGAAGAAAGCCTTCAAACCCTTCAACCCTTGGAGTCTCTTCTTTACTGGGAAAAAGAAAAAAAAGGGTTTTTTATTACAGTATAATTTGGATTGGCTTCCTACAAAGCAAGATGGAAACTGTTAGGGAGTTGTTAACAGGAATGGACTGAGACAGAGAGTTATAGGAGAGATCTGGCAGTTTCCTTCCTTTTCCCCGTGGGGGCTCTTATTTTCAGGACTTGAAAAAACCAAAAATTTTGGAACATGAAATATTTTTTATAATTTGGGATTTTGGTGACATTTTAATGCTGGAGGGAAGGAAAAGATAAAGTCTCATGAGAAATCCATCTGATCTCATAATGTTTTTGTTTTTTTTTGTCTGTATCCTCAGAGCAAAGGTATTCCACCCAGATGAGCATTGAGCTCTTTGTATCAGTATTTTCATTAATTCATTATTCAGCTGGTTCTGAGAACTGAATTACTCAGAACTGGGACTCCGGAAAGGTTTTGCCCAAGGAGAAGGGAACCACCAGGGAAGAGCAGAGTGCTGCTCTCTCTGTGCATTTGCTCACAAAATCCACATCTTGGATAACAGCACCAATCTGGGAACTGGGCAGAAGGTGTTTAAAAGCTCCCTGCCCCATTGCAAAGGTCCAACCTTGGTCTTCCCACCCAGGTGCACCTTGCAGTGAGCCTTTTCAAGATCAAGCTCTATCTGGACTGTAAGAAAATAGCAGAGAGACCCATCAACACCATTGGCAGCATCTCTACTGCTGGCTTCGTCATGCTGGGAAAAGTGACACGAACCAGAGGGCCCAGGAGTGGATCAGTATCGGTGAGTGCCCAGACGTGCTTGCTTTGGAAATTGGGGGGTTAAATGTGAAGTTAGTTGGGCAGATGGAGGGTTGTGCCATCTTCACTGTTCTCACACTGACAGCATTCAACAGCAGCTGTGACGCAGGGCTGTCTGCTGATCCCACTGATCTCTGTGGGTCAATGAGCTTTCCTGGTGTGGGGATTCTCCTCCTCGCCTCCTACCTGGGTTTGAGATTTGGGCTCAGGGCTCCTTACTGAATGCTTGAAGCACAGGCTCTGCCCTAACAGGCAGCAGGTGTAGGGAACTTCTTTGGAAGAGAAGGTTGTGCTATCGGCCCCCATTGAGTGTCACTGGGAAGTGTCAGGTCTGGAGGTGCCTCAATCTCCTGTGTGCTTGGGCTTGGCAAATGGTGGCCAAATACTTTTCAGTACAGAAGCTCCTTGTCAGCTGCTGTGTAAATTAAAGCAGCCTAATGCTCATTGCCAGCCTGCAGGTATGTCCCTGCTGCACTGCACAGCACCCTGCGAGAGGACAGAGCAAGGGAAGTATGGGCTCCGCACTGTGCCTTGCAACAGCCCCATGCATCACCCAAAACCACCCCTGCATGGCATTGCTCAGGAGCCTGCTGCCCTGCCATGTTTCCTCCACAAAACAGGAATGTTAAATATATGCAGAATGAGGAGGAATTGCTCAGTGAGGCTGTAGGAAATCATTCATGACTGTGAAGCTTGTACTCCTGGGTTCTGCTTTTAGGTCTAAAGATCTAGGGGGAAACAGCCCAACCACTGATTTGCAGCTTCCCTTGCCTCAAAGTAGTGCAGTAAGAACATTTTGTCCTATCCCCAGCCGCCTGGTCCTACAGAGAGCAATGTAAAGCTCTTGGGTGCACCAGAGAAAAGTGGGCATTGGAACCACAGTGAGCAGTGGTGACATATGACAAACCAGGGCACAATGGGATTCAAGCTGTATTTTCTAAATAAGTGCTGTGGCAGTTTAGATGGATCACAAGCCTGTCAGAAAAGAGCCTGAGCTCTCCCTCTCCCTCCCAAACTCTCCTTGCTCACAGCTCAGCCAGACAGATGCAGCTGACTAATGAGCAGCTTCGTGCTGCCTCTGCTCTTATTGCTTTTCAAGCCCAGCATAAGGTTTATGTCATCCACAGCTTCTGCTGCCCTTGAGAAGATGGAGGGTCTCATTATTGCTTATCATGGAACCTCGTTTAATTTGAGATATCTTTAAATGCTGCTTGATCAAGGGGGCTCACCTGTACCTGTGATGCGCTCCTCTGCTGTGCAGCTTAAATGCACAGAGCAGAATTAAAAACAGAGGAGAAATGTTGCTATGGAAAGCAAAAAAAAAAATAATCTTCACTGCCTCGCCTTCTGTTTTTGGTTTGCTTTGTGCAGTGTGTGCTCCTGTGTTCATCACAGAGGCAGTGGCTGGGAGGGATGTGGGGTAGGCAGGAGGGGTTCCTGGGATGGAACACAGCTCTCCTGGGAGCCTACTGCCACTTTTCCTCTCAGGTACATTCCTCTAAAGGGGGAAATGCAGACAGCAAGGTTTGTTTTCACATTTTGGCAGTGCTGAAGCCCAATTACCTGAGGACCTGCCTGCTGCTGTGGGATGGTGTGAAAAATCAGAGAGGCAGCTTTTGCAGGGGTGGCTTTGCAGGGCACAGAGCTGCGGCTACTATGTGTGTCATGGCTTTTTTGGTGTAATTACAGTTGGGACCACACGTGGAGTCTGTCAAACCACCACTAAACATTATTTTTAGCACATGATGAACTTTGGTGGTGCCACCTTCTCATCAAATCCTCTTCTCTTCCCCACAGTTCCAGCTGCAGTCGTTGCAGGTTGTGTGCAACAGCTTAGGGGCAGAGGAGGACAGATGCTGTGATCTTCCTGCATTGGTAAGATGATGTGAGGTTCTTTGCTGGATGGGATGAAGCTGTGCACGATGGCACAGGAGTGACACCGCACATCTTTTTCATATATAAGAAGGAAATCACTCTTCTTCTCATTTCTTGGGAATGTCAACTGGGTGTATCTTGGTGAAGGGAACCAAAAAGCATGTTTTGTCCCACTGTGTCTGTTTCAAAAGGCAAAATCTCAACACAGTGCATATCCCTCCTGCCCTGAGCTCACCTGAGCCCCCCTGGCAGCCCCACAGCTCCGCTGCCACCTCCCAGCCCCAAGGCACAGTGTCTGTTTTTTTTTTCCCCAAGACTGAATTCTGAAGCCCTGCCATCACTACCTGTCATCGATTCCACTCTCGCTGCTCACATATCTTGCTTTCTTTTCAGAGGGACGAGGAGAGCTGCCCCACCATAGCTCCTGCCTGCTCCTGCACATCTGGCCGCCCAGGCTTGCCAGGTCCTCCAGGTCCCCCTGTAAGTTCACCCTTCGTGCATATTGCATGTCTTATTTCATGCTGTTTGCACACCTCAGCTCCATGGGGCTCTGTCATCTATCTCCTGCCTTCATCCCAGGCTAAAGCAGTTCCTCCTTGCCTGGCACAGACCCCAGGGCTTTATTTCTCTATGCATGTTGTGGCATTTTGGGAGTGCAACAGCTGCAGCTGGGAGCAGGCTGAGCGTGTCTGAGTGCTGCATTAATCCTCTTAGGAGGGGAGGACAGGCCACCTCGGTGTGTGTGTGCATGCAGAGATTTCATGGATCAGTGGCTCCGAAACTCTTTGTAAATAACAAAAAAAAAAACCCTCAAAACATACAAAATCTGGATTCTCTGTTAAGCAGGAAGGCCAATAAGTGTCTGCACAAGTGGGTGATGTATAAAGAAAGGGGAATTTTGGGGATGTGGTAACAGCCAGTAAGAGTGTGGAGTGCTCCAGGAAATGTTCCAGGTAGATGCTATGAAGTGGTTATCAAGAAAAACCCCACGTTTTAGAAGTGTTGAGAAGAAAGTGTTACGTGCACCCAACAGCCAAATCTGACAGTCTGTCCAGAGCACCCCATCTGGGACACTCCTGGTGCTTTATACCTGGAAATCATAGAATCATAAATGGTTTGTGTTGGAAAGGACCCTTAAACCCCATCTGGTCCAACCCCCCTGCAGTGAGCAGGGACGTCACAGCTCCATCGGTGCTCAGAGCCCCTCTAGCCTGACCTTGGGTGACTCCATCACTGGAGTATCCACCACCTGTCTGGGCAACCTGTGCCAGTGTCTCACTGCCCTCATTGCAAAAATCTTTTTTCCTTATATTCAAACTAAATTTCCTCTCGTTCATTTTGGAACCATTTCCCCTTGTCCTGTCACACAGACCCTGCTCAAGAGCCTGTCTGCTCCTTTCTTTCAGCCCCATTATAGATACTGAACTGTGGAACATTCGGGTCTCTTTGCTCAAGTGAGGAGGCTTCAGCTAACTGCTCACATTGCTGTGGTTTCACTGTGACTTCAATGCCACGATTTGCAAGCTCCTCATTGCAGAGTAATTACGTGCTCATTCCGGTGGAAGTTTAATTACACAGCGCACTCCACTATCGCAGTGTGCTTCAATATCCTAAGTGCATAATTAGCAGCTTGCATTGCCCTGTGGTTTAAACATCTCTCCAGTACTACTATTTAAAAAGCAGGATTCTTTCAAGCATTAGAGAAAATATAGCTCTGACACACAACCGTATCCTCACACCATCAAACCCTTGCTAATTCGCTGGCCTTACAAGAGCACTCACTGCTACTTGTTAAAGTCCTTTTACTGGAGGCTGGCAAGGCTGCTGGTCGCTGTCCTTAATGGGTGTTTTTTACCAGATTCAAATGAAATGAGCTTCTGGGTGCTTCTGGGAGAACTTTTTCCAAAGCTCCCTGTAATTCTTAATCCAAATCCATTGGTTTTTTTTACCATCAAGAATAGAAACTTTCAGATTAAGTTCACGTGGTATTTTAAGTTCACAAGTTCACACGGCATTGGTTTGTGCCAGAAGATTATTTCTGTCTCTGATCCAGCAGTTCTGCAGGTGCAGAGCTGAGCTGGGTCTCCTCAGCACTGCTTGCTGGCCCTGATCTCAGAGCTCGTCCCTTCTCTTGGGTATTGCAAACACCAGACTTGTCCCAAAGGACAGCAGGCAGGAGCTCCTCCTTATCTATGTTCATATGTGATCCCTTCCGCACTGGCTGCCCCAGCACGGATTTGCTAGGAAGTTGGAGGGAGGAGGTTGAAGATGTTTAGCTTCATCTCTCCTTGCTGGAGGTGATGTGATTTCAAAGAGGGGCCATGCTGTCCTTTTCCTTCCTTCTTCCCCCTTTGCTGGATAACTCTATTTTCTCCTTGCCCCTATTTCCTGCTAGTTCTCTGGAGGGGCATCTTCCATTGTGTGTATAGCAAAATGCACCAGTGTCCTTCTGGCACCTATTTGCTCTGTTGTAAGGATTATGATGTTAATAACAGCAGCTCTGTGTCTTGCTGGCAGGGCAGCCCTGGGAGGAGAGGACCACAAGGTGAGCAGGGGGAGCCAGGCCCCAAGGTGAGTCTTGGTGTTCCTTGGGAAATGATGCATTGTGGAGGATGGGATCACATTATTAATTAAATGCTCAATTGGACTCTGGAAATTGAGATGATGGGCTTGATGAAGCTGAATTAATGCAAATTTTGTGGTCAGCAGTGTTCTTGGAAGCAGCCTTGATGGAAAATGGTTTGTCTTTGTGCTGTGCTTGGTGCTGCCTTGTCATTTTCTCCTATTGAAGATGCACCTAAACCTTACACTTAAAAGGCTGCTGAGCTTGTTGGAGATCCCCTGCTGTTCTGCCTTCATCTTGCATCCCATATTCAGCTCATGCTGACCCGGGCCATGCAGTACAGTCCTCGTGAAGGGCAGGCTCTAATTGCTTTCTTTCTTTAATTTCATATCTTTTGCTTTAGGGTGAACCAGGCCCACCTGGAAAAGTGGGACCAGCAGGTCCAAGTGGCCAGCAAGGCTCCCCAGGTTCCCAAGGAATCACAATTCAGGGCCCTGTGGTATGTCATCTCTTCCATTGCTTTTCTTCGTTTCTTGCTCTTTGCAATTGGAACACGTCTCACAAATCGGTATCTCAGCAAAACCCCTAAACCTGGTCTGTGAATTGACATCATCCTCATTAACAGTTAGACAGCTGCACTAGAAAGATGATAATAATTTTTTCATGGTGATGAGTCCTGACAGTCAGTCATTCTGGCAAAGGACCGCTTTTGTCCAGACTGTCCCTTGTGTGCTTCTAATGAAAACAAGCCCAGTGCAGCCTTCAGGCATGTCTCTTCACAGTGATCATCATTACTTGGCTAGGATGTGGAGGCTGCTGCATGCGTGCCTGGGATGACAGAATCCCATGAACGTGCTGTTGCTGCAAAGCTCCCTGCATAGCATCACAGAGAGAAGCAGCAGTGCGGGGTGCGAGCGTGCAGCAGCAGGACTCTCTTTCCTTTAAAAGACGCTGCAGTGTTTGACTGTGTGCTTCTGTTTCAATCCAAGGGGCCACCAGGTATTAAAGGAGAGAAAGGAGACACTGGAAGTCCTGGCATGCAGGTAACAGTAGACACCTTCCTTGTAACTGTATCAAGGATTTGTCCATTTCTCCCAGTAATTAATTAAAGCAAGACTGAAAAGCCATAGTGTTGTCCCTCTTCCCTTCTCATTTCCCTTGCTACAAGATGAAGTAGGACAATGATAAGCAGATGCAAACTTCACCAGCAATTCCGATTTACAGGGCATTCCTGGTGTGCAGGGAGCTCCAGGCAGAGATGGTCTTCAAGGTGCAAAGGTAAAATGCATCAGTCACCCCCCAGTTTTCACACAGTGCTGCCTAAAATCCAAACTGGATCCAAACATCCAGCTCTCCTAATGCTCTCAGTGCAAAAGTGAAAGATATTTTCACAAATCTGCAAGAAATGGAAGAAAAAAAAGCAACTATTGGATCATCTCATTTGGCCAAATCTGCATGGCTGACCAGGTGCCAACCTTCTTGCCTGCTTGGCAGATATATATACCCATTTCTGGCAAGCTCCCATTAAAAACAGCACAGGGAGAAATAACATCGCTGCTTACTGTGTCTCTTTGAGTCCCTTTGTTAATACTGGACTGGATTTGGTTTTGCAGGGGGTGAGGGGATTGGAAGGCACAGCTGGGCCCCCAGGACCTCCTGGACCAAGGGTGAGTACAGGAATAATGTGGATCTGTTTGAAGTCTCTTCCTCAGAAGGAGATTGGGATTACTGCTGGCCTGCTATCGTCCAGAGGTGTCTGGGCAAATCCTCTTCTTGGGTTTTCACAAGGGAAATATCCTCACACACGTTGCAGAAATCTACTTTCTCTGTCACTTTCTCACGGCTTCTTACGAAATAAACAGAAAAGCCTTCAGCTTACCCTTGGAGGCAACTTCCGCTTTGATCCAGCATGGAGATGCGCGTTTTACTACCCTTGCTTTTCTATAGCTAGAATTTTTCAAATATTGTGTGGGTTTGGGGTGTATGGGCTCATCAGAGTGAAGTCAGCTGGAGCCAGAGGATGCAGGCAGATATGAAAGATGTCCCTATACATTGGTTCCTGTATGTGCTACCTGGGCCATAAGCATTTGCACTCTCTTGTGCCCAGGACATCACAAACAGAACTTCAAGATGCTAAACCAAAAAACATAAAACCATGACAGTTGGTTTACATCTGGTCATTTTAAAGGCATAGCCTTACCAGTTCTGTGTAACCATGGAATTTGGCTTTAGATGATGGATGGGAGACCTGATAGTTGCTGGTTCTCATTGCTGAGTTATATGGAGTTTGGCAGTCCTAAATAGTGTAAAATGGAAACTGCTTACTGCTGCATTTGCCTTAAATCCCATAGCAGCTCTGTCGAGGTATCTATAGTGAGGGCCACATTCAGCTCCTGACTTGGACTTGCTTATCCTGGCAAGACATGGAGCCAGCAGTGAACCTCAGCTTTTTAAACATGAGGAAAGCACTGCAGCCTTTGGACTAGGCTCTGAAAGATGGCTGGTGCTGCCTTAAAGTCTTCTTTCTTTCATTTTCCACTGATCAAAAGAGTTGTTGATCTCCACTGAGCTTAAACATAATAGCTGAAAAAACTACAAAAGAAAGTATTTCTAGTGCTTTTTTGCCTTATTTTTTTCTTCCCTTTATGGCTCCAAAGGGCAGAGAAACTTCTCAAAGGAGAGATAAACAAAGAAGGCACCTTCTACTCTCTAATCTACAGTTCTACTGTAAAAACTCAGCAGCAAAACACAGGTCTTCAAGGGAAAACAAAAAAGCAGTGGCATGGTACTAGCAGGATGAAGAAAAGGGTTGTGCTCTAGGCTGTGCCTAAATCTGAACGTGTAAGGAAGGATGTAAACCCACATCTAAAAATCACATTGCAATTTGTTGGCAAAACTCAGCTTTGCTGGCTTGATGGTAGCTGAGACAGTAATAGGAAATGATGTGAAGATGACTCATACGTGATGCACTCTTAACATTGTGCTCATGGCTGAATGAGGTACTGACATAAACCTTAAGACTGCAGTGCTCTTGCTGGAGTCCTCCAAGCTCAAACTGCTGGCGCCCCTGGAGCTGCAAGGAGATGTCAAACAGAAAAAGAACAACAGTGGGAAGTATCCAGATTTTCATCTGTGTCTTGAAATTGATATCTGCAGGGTTTCCAAGGAGTGACAGGTTTCCGGGGCAGCAGCGGTGAGAAGGGACCTCCAGGTGATGTTGGGCCAACAGTAAGTGACTGAGCATGGGTCTCAGAGAAGGCCAAGGCATGAAATCATTGCATGTAAGCAAGTTGCTCCCATGGTAATTCTTCCTCAGCATCTGAAGGAGAGTTTAAATTCATGCTCGCCCTTCATATGGATGTGCAAATCCTGAGCTTGTATCTATGGAATATCTGCATCCTTGTTGATGGCGTTCCAGCTCCTTAAGCACGAATAGAAGATATTCCTATGAGCTCATGATACTTTTAGCCATTTTCATAAGGTCAAGGGAAGTACAAGTGTGTGGGAAACAAACCTTGGGCTCCACGTCCCGCTGATGTAACCTGCATCCCCACTGACCTTCTGCTTTCTCCTCCTCTCCCTAGACCGTGACTTTTCCTTTTGCTTTCCTCACAGGGACTACCAGGTCCAAAAGGAGAAAGAGGAGAAAAAGTGAGTTTTCCTGGTACTGTACATCAAGCACTCGAAAGAGTGGATGTGGTAATCTGCTTGGCAAGCTATGCTTACAAGTGAAGACATTTTCAGAACAGAATAACATAATGTACCAAGGGCTCGTTTCTTTCTGTTCACCTGCACTGGCTGTTATGATGGGTCTGAATAATGAGCTGCTTAGTACCAGTTGTAGTAGCAAAGAAGAAAAGCTAATTGAAAATCCATTCTTTGCTGAGAAGTCAAAAACAAAACCATCCAGCTTCACTGGGAGTTTGTTTTGTTTTGTTTTAAATGTGTGGCATAAGGCTGGGGCTCACGTCTGACGAACCTGTGCCACACTCAGGTACAGAGCTCCTGAGGTCAGGAGAGCCACGCTGTCTGTGGAGGTTATCTTATTGTCAGAGGAGGTTTTGTTCATCTTGACTTACAGTTAAAAAGAAATCCTATGTTTTTCTAGGAGTCCAAGTCTGCTTGCCAAGATTGAGTTAAGTGAAGTAAGCTTCAGACAGGCTCATGCTGCTTTTCACAGACTGCTTTTCTTCTTTTGTTTCAAGTGAAAGCCCCAGCATTATACTTTTTAACACCGTCCTCCTTCCATTTCCAACAGCTTTTCCTTTTCTATACTTTTTTTTTTTATTTTCACTGGAACGTTCCTTTTTCCCTCCCTTGGATGTTGTGCCAACCTTTTGTTTAAGCTTGGTAATCTGCAAGGTGGTCCACACAGAGCTGTACAGCTTAGAAATGGTTCTGGAAGCATCCAGGGTCTTAGCTATGAATTTTCATGAGGAGACTCAGCCTTCATTTTTTAAGCAGCTTTTTGCATTTGTCCCTATGTTACTAAAACTTTCTAAAGAAAAACCTCAGATGTCATTTATTTAGAGTTTAATAAGGGTAAGAATCAATATTCATAAAAGATTGAGACAAAGATAGGATATTGTAATATCTGGTCATGTTAAATGTTTTACATATCACAGACTATTAAGTTATACACTGCCTATCTGTTTTGATGAAATTTGAGAGGGAAATTTACTCTCCTTTTTTTTGGTAGCTTCAGTAATTATATCAATTCAGTCTAGGCTTTTTGATGTGTGGGAGAAAAGCAATTATTGATGCTTCCCAATGACAATTTTATGGCTTTGGAGCTTTGTAATAAATAAATCAAGAAAATGCATTTCATAGCAATTAATGTCTCAGTAACACAAGCTGACACAAAGAAAGGGCAGAAAGCTGTCCTGCAGTATGATATTGATCCTTTCTAAAAGATATCAATAAAGATGTGAATACTTCCTTTTCTAAAAAAGAACTGTAATGCTTCACTTTAGGGGGAACCACAGTCCTTGGCCACAATTTACCAGCTGGTTAGCCAGGCTTGTGAGCGGATGATCCAGAGTGAGTATAATCACCCTGAGGTTGTTTTCATGCTTCTCCAGTAGCTGTGGACAAAAGCACAGGGGAGGATGGCATGAAGCTGTAGTGAGCCAGAGATCCCTCTCTGTGCAATGCCGAGCATGGTCCCACCACACTGTCCTATCCATTGGTTTCATTGGGTGGTTTTAGCACTAAGACTTTTGTGACCTTGCAAAAGTTCCTTTCTGTCTTGCCTTCTCAGGTCACGTGTTGAAATTTGACTCATTCATTCACGAACATGCAAGGAAGCCGGTTCCTGTTTGGGAAGAAAGACTGAAGCCAGGAGAGCCGGGATCACCAGGTCCTCCAGGTCCTCCTGGGAGCAATGGAGAAAGAGGAGAAAATGGCATCCCTGGTCAGACAGGAAAAGATGGGTATCCTGGAGAAAGAGGTATGGGCAGAAGTATTTATAAGCATGTTCACCTCATCACTTAGGAAGAGCCTGGTGGGGAGGCTGCAGGGAAGAGCCACTTGTCTGTGTTCTGTGATTAGGTGCCCCAGGACCCAAGGGAGAAAAAGGAATGGCTGGAGTCAATGAGGAAGGGATCCAAGGACCCAGAGGCAGAACAGGTAAATTCTGTCTCTCTGTATTGACCACATGGGGCTGCCGGATTCAAAGCTTCTTCAGTTGTAGGACCACTGTGCTGAGACTGAATGACCTCACCACCACTGCGCTTTGCATAGTTCCTCTCTGCTCAGATATGAGACCGTTCCTCTCTTCTTTGGTACCCATTCTTAGGTAATGATGAGTTTTAAAGACTTGAGGTACATCCAGAGAATTTTACTGCATTTTTGCATGCAAGACCAGACGCTCAGGAGATAGAAACTCTTCAAAAATTCAGCTCATGGAACACAAGAGTTGTTGAGTAATCTGTTAGGATTTCATGTACTCCTCCATCTTGATCCTTTTCACTTGAAGTCAAGGGGAAGTTTACTTCATTGTGAAGTCACAAAAACAGTGACTCTGAGGTGGATCCCAGAGTTAAGGTGATTTTCTTTATTGACACATAGGTGGGCTTTCTTGTAACCAGCTTGGGGAGTTAGGTACCTTTAAGGCCAAATAGTTGCCGAGATTCAGAAGAATTCCAATTCTTTTCCCCAAAATAAAGCAACAATACTCAGAAAATGAATTGCCACGTTGGATGGGAAAAGTATAGAAGTGTTATATTGAAGCTGTAGATGTGCTGTGGCTTACAGCTTCTTCTTTAGGCCCACCAGGAGAAGTTGTGTTGGGGAAACCAGGCCCAAAGGGCTACCCAGGGAACACCGGTCCTCAAGGTTTTCCTGGTGTCAGAGGACAGCCTGGGCAGCCTGGATACTCAGGGGGCTGTGATGTCTCTGGATGTTATGGGCCAGGTAGAAGAGGTAAGTCCTGATAATTTAAATGCAAGAATTCTTTGCTCTTGTGGCTTCCCTTAAACTACGCAGGAACCTTTGTTCATCCTTCAGGCACTGTTGGTGCTGCAAGAGCCTCCTTTGCAAAGCAATCAGGATGATTCATCTGCAATTAGCCTATTAATGTGGATAACAGCCAGCTCAAATGGCTACTCCTCAGCCATCCGTTGTAGATTAACACATAATTGCAGTAGTAGAGGAACAGGTGGAATGATCTTGGTTATCTTCAGTCCTTAATGCCCCTGACAATGTGTCCATAGTGGATAGAGAGGAATATCTCAGTTCCCACATATGTCTTGGGTGGAGGATCAAAAAGTCCTGGAAAATGAACTTGCTGACACTGGACAAAAGATTTAAAGGGGAAAGAATTCATTCTGCAGCACTCCTTCTCAATACTGCTTTACTCTGGTTTATTCTCTTGCTCACTGGCCTCACCTCATTTCCATGCACAGATTTCATCCCCTGATGGCCAATGTGGAGACAGCTGAGGACAGTTCTCTGCCCTGGAAGTCTATGGGTAAAAGCTCCAAGAGAAGCAGCAACCCGAACATCAAATGTGTTTGTGCTTTTCTTATTTCCCACTATTTGTATATGGACATATCAGTCAAATGAAGCCAATATCAAAACCATCAAACCAGCCTGATGAGTCTCAGCCATCCACTGTTTTTCAGTGCTGGACACCTGCAGTATTCAAACTCACAGCAAGGCACACAGCCAAAGCTACAGGCTGACAGACTTGTAAGAAAAAGAAATAATGTATGGAAATGCTTAGAAATAACAAATTTTTGCCCATTTGTCTGCTTGTGGTTTATTTTTGTCACTTGCTATTCTGCATCCCCAGCACAGAGAAAAACAGCACCTCATGCCCAAAGATGTGAAAATCCACTGGAGCAAAATAGCGTTTTCTGTTGGTTGACAAGGTAACTAAACCTCGCGCCATTTGGGCTGTTTCTGCTTTTGGCAAATGGCTGATGGCTTTCTTGCAGTGGTGCTCTGTGCAGAAGCACTGCAGTCAGTGCAACCATCTTTCTGTGATGCGACAAACCCCACCTGCAGCCTCGCTTTCTGGGGTCTGATAAGTGCCCTGTGTTGGGCAGGGCACAGCCATGCACTGCTAGGAGCTGGAGATCAACCCGCTGGGCTTTCCCACCTTTACTTCCTGCAATCTGATCGGCTACTTTGCATTTTATCAGGTAGAATATTGAATTGCTCAAGTCTCGCTTATCCATCTGACATGGAGGTAATTGTGATGTTACGCTCTTTTCCTTTTGTGAGCCATGGTCTGATGTGAATCCAAACTGTGCAGATACTGATAAACAGTACCTTCAGCTTCACAGTTGGTGCTTTGGGCTGCCTTTCTACTTCTATCCCCCACTCCTTCCATTACAATCAATTATCCCTTAGCTTAATGCATTATGTGGCATGCATTAATTTGCATGCAGGGAGCCAGCATTCTCAGCTGGCTGTCAAACCTAATACCTGTGGACACTGGCAGATGCAAAGCAATGGGCAGGAGAGGCAAGGAGACCCAATCAAACACCCACTAATGGAGAAAGCAAGTAGTTCAAAGTGCAATGTCTGCACTTTGCAGTAATTCTGCAAATGTAAATCAGGGCAGCCAAATTCCCAGCTCTGAGCTTGCTGTTCTGTCTGTTCAAACCCAGTGGCTGCGAGTGGTTTGGCACAGAGCTCCTTTGTTTTTCTCTATCGATTAGTTTTGAAAGTGACTAACATCTTCTCACCGCTCACACCAGGGTTTAATCCATGCAGTAGAATTTCAAGTGGCGTTTGCTTTTTCTGATTATTTCAGATACAGCAGGAAAGGACAGGTTTTAACAAAACCAGCTTCTGTGAGGGCTATTGATTAGGAGAAAGAAAACTTGCACAAACAACTTGTTCATTAATGATTCTAAACTTTGTCCCATGAGTGGTTTAATTCACTTGAAATCAGGGGGATTTTGCCCTCTCACTATCACAAACTGTTGGTACCATTGCTTTGCCACTCAGTTCCTTCAGAGAATGACTTGGGTTGGAAGGGACCTTCAAGACCACCTAGTTCCAACGCCCTGCCATGGGCTGGTTCCCTTCACCAGATCAGGCTGCTCAGAGCCATCCAGTCTGGTCTTGAATGCCTGTTTGGATGGGGCATCCACAACTGGATCCTTGAAGACCAGTTCCTTGAAACCACCCATTGTGGGTATTAATATCCCACAGTCTTTGCTGGGTGCAACCTGTTGTTTCCCCTGTTGTGTTTTTCCAGCCCCATTTATCACTTTTAATGCATGCTGTAGTTAAAAGCAGCGGCATGTATTAGTAATGCAGGTTTTTTTCCTAGTAAGGGCTTTGTTCTCAAAGCATTCATCTCTACAAATAAAAGTTTGGATATTAGTTTTCCTGGATTTAATCCTGTTTTTGTTTTTGTTTTTTTTCTGAATTAATCTCAGTGCACAAATTTAGTATGTCCCTGTGAAATCCCACCAGTTCCTATTCTTTCCCCACTTTGCAAAGGAATGCCTGTTTACTTCTCCCTCTGCTCAGTCCTTAAGGAAAATCCGTCTTGATGTTCTCATTATCACTTCTGCCCTAAGCAATCATTAGAGACTTTTTTCCACACAGTGTGTAACGTGACGTCATATTTTCAGACTTTCTTACATCTTCAGATGTTTGTAAATTACGATAAGATTGGTTTTCTATCCCTGCTGCAGAGGTTGGCCCACCTGGTGCAGCCACATGCTGGCAGAGGCTGAGGACCTTTCAGAGACAGACTTTTTTGGCTACAAGCATCATTCAATCAGCCTCAGGGGTAAGATACAGTACACATGGAGGACTAACTAGCAATATTGCTAACAAGCTGCTCTGAGAAGGCTCTCTCTCCAGGGTTCAGCAGCTTGATTTTCCCAAATATAAAGGTTTGGAGACCAAAAAGAGATTTTGGGTGGGGACAGGAGATTTTATAAAAATGCATACTGCAGTGAGGCAGAGCCCAGAGGGGCTATCAAGGTAGGTGGGGCTGTTACAAGGAATGATCCTTAGCTCCATATGTGTCTGTCATCCCACATACCTCTTTCTGCCTGCCTGTCCCTATGCAAGTGAATTTATTTGAGTCTAATTTCTAGGTAAGTGTTTAGAGAGAAACTTAAGCAAAAAGGAGGTGATATAGGTTATGTGGATTAGCTCACTGAAGAAGGAGATGGTGTTGTGACCAATAGCCCTGAAAACAGCTGATAGGACTAGGAAAGGTTTATTGACAGATTATATAGCTCATCCTACCAACCAGCTGCAGATGAAATACCCCCCCAGTGTCATATGGCTGGGGGAGATGACTTAGGCAAAGTGAGTGCACATATGAAAGACTCCAGAAAATATATATCTTAAAATCTCTCTGCTTTACATGAGGTTGGAATAGCAGAATTATTCATTTTTCCATAGTTACAGTCTGGTTCACATCTCAGTTTTATTCCAGTTTCTGATCATTGAATCCTATGGAGGGATACCATCCTCTTTAGCAGTCTCCAGAGTGGAGTAATCCATCCAAGACAGAGTGATGGGGCATGATTCCTGTTTTCTCCCCTTGGATTTTACCAGAAGGCACATCAGAAGCAGAAAGCAAGACATTATTTGAACTTTAAACTGGGGAAATATTAATGCCATGTGAGAAGAAGTGGAGCTGCCACTACATGAGAAATGTTATGATGTTAGCAACACCAGAGGAAACCAGTGACCTGCATCATCCGAGCTTCTTCCAAATGCCACTAATATCTCTGTAGACGGTTTCAGCTGTCACTTCTCATCTTGCTCTGCCAAACCCTGTGATCCCTCAGTGTCACTGAGTCTTCAGGGAGACACAGCCACATCCTCTGCACTTCCCATCACACCTGGCATTTCGATGTGCTAATGGAGCAGATGTGTGTGGGCAGCCCAGGGTGGCAGGGCAGCTGTGCCAGGACTGGATTACACTGCTGTGCCCTTGCCAGGCTCCTGTGCTGTCACAGTGCAATGCTCCCCTGGAGATGCTACCGTGTGCACTGATAATCACTTTTTGCAGAGAAGACAGTGGTCTGAGGTGGCACGTTCGCTGTGGGAGAGTGGAACCTACACTTGCCTCTACAGAATCTCACAAGAAGCTGTTTAGCTCTTGAATCTGTCCTTAAACCTTTCCTAGTCCTACTGCTTCACCCAAATTGTTCCCCTGTGTTAGGCAGGGGTCTGACTGTGGCAAGTCGGCCAGCTGGGATGGTTATATGGCTGCAGATGCACATATAGCTGCAGATGCACACAGTCAAGCCCATACCTGCTCCACTGCCCTCGTGCTCATGGGCTCCTAAGTTGCAGACTGAGCTCTGAGCAGTCCCTGGGCACTGCCCAGGACCCAGCAATACTCCGGGGTCAGAATTTCTCCCACCTTCATGTATTTTGCACTGAAATGGGAGCCCAGCTTGTCTGCAGTGCAGCCCATAACCTTCATGCAAGCTGCAGCTGCATTGGTGCAATTATGCACTAGACCTTGAAGATGTTTCACTGTTTGTTTTCTTTGCGTTGCCATAAGCAAGCTAGCTGACTGTGAAAAAGGATAAATTAGCATCTCTGAAGAGTGAGTCTCTATTCTGAAAGCAAGCAAAGAGCCATCAGCTCCCTAGATGCAGCACCATGCCAGGACTACGTTTCTGCCAGCTGCATGGATGGAGGGCACATGGCCAAGGCTGTGACAAGAGGAAAAGCAGGTGGAATTGACAGGATTGGCCAACCAGGGTGATCACTGCTTTGATTTTATCTTGTCCTCAAATTTTGATGTACTGTTTTTGGAATGGTTCAACTCCAGTCTTTCCAAGATAGATTAAATGTGAAAATTCTTTGTTTTCAGTCTTCAGACTCTAGACTGTTTCTGGCAACAGTTATTGCAATTCTTGCAATTATAAGTAGAATGAAAATATTTCTCTCTAGTATAACTAATGTTCATATATTAGGATGCACAGTGCACAGAATATCAGAGCCTTCACCTTTTTTATAAAGAAGTACAAAGAACAAATTATTATTAGCTCATATTATGAACTGAATCTGGTATCTTAGCATCATAGAATGGCCTGGGTTGAAAAGGACCATACCGATCATCTTGTTTCAACCTCCCTACCTTGGGCAGGGTCACCAACCATTAGACCAGGCTGCTCAGAGCCACATCCAACCTGGCCTTGATTGCATCACGGGATGTATAGGTTTACAAGATTTGCTGTCCTTCTTGAACTGAGTGCAGTATCACTGAACCACAGAATGGTTGGGTTGAAAAGGATCCTCAAGACCACCATGTTCCAATCTCTGCTTTGGGCTGATTGCCACACACCAGGTCAGGTCCCCAGCCCAGGATTGCTGTCATGAGCAACTCCTAGCACTCTGGATGTGAGTAAGCCTCTCAAGCTCATACAGCTCTGGGTGTGAGCTGTGCATCCACCAAAGCTGGGACTGCTAGAGCTGCTGAGAAGCAAATTCCCTGCAGCCCAAAGGGTTCATGTGCACTGCCTGCAGCGTGGGCTGCAGAGGGACGTCTGGGTTCTGAGTCACACAGCCATGCGAGTCCCATGCGAAGGCTGTGTTTTTGGGCTGTATCTGCTGTTCCTCGTGCAGTTTGGTAAGCTGTTTGTAAGCCCTTCTGCTTGTGGAAGCAAACAGGGAGATATGGCACTGAGAGCTGCTGTGCTGTTCCCAGCTGGCAGCCAGCAGTGGAGATGGGAGCTGTGCATTTCTAAGTGCCAAACAGAGGGGATGCTGAGCTGAATGGGCGATGAGAAAGCTGAGAGAAACAAGGCTGCTGAAGCACCAGTGAACAAGGTGATCTATTTGTGTGAGCTCAGCACCTTATGTTCATTAAGTGACTTCTTCCAGCCAATCAGGGAAACGGCAGGCATGGAGGGGAGACCTGCTGCATGGGAAAGAGATGCAGAGGAGGATGCAAATCCTCCCTTGCTTTGTCTGAGCCTCACTGAGAGATGATGTCCTTCATACGCATGACTTCTGAAGGGTTTTGGCTAAAGAAACCTTTGCCAATATGAAAACTGCAACCACTGTATTTTGGTGGGCAAACATTCCCAGTTGTTTCCAGAGGGACTGAGCTGCCCTGAGGAATGCCTTCAGCCCGTCCCATATGGTACAGACACATCCATCACGGGTATCCCAAAGCTGGAACTTTATTTATAAAATGACTCATACAGGGACAAGCAACCCCAATCCACCTCAGCAGGACAGGGCAAGGTTACACAGGCACACGGAGACCTCTGAAGACGAGCGGAGCAAATTTGCTGGTTTATATACGCAAAGCCTCTGCATGTGCTGCTTTAGGGGGCAAGCTCATGGCCTTACACTGCTGAGTATATGCCAGTGAATGGCACCATGCTATGTACAAACTTTAATGAGAACTTTTCCCCTAAAATAGATGGAGGACATGAAAATGGCTTGGCAAAATGATGTGACTTCAGAACGTGTTCCCAGTGTACTGTGGAACAACTCATGCGTGGACACGCAGTGAATAATTCAAAGGGCCGGCTCCATTTCTCTGCTCATCTCCTTCCAGATGAACTAAGACCCACAAGGCAGGATGTATTTCCTCATTCTGTGGCTGTGCTTAGATCATTCCTGCCAGCCACGGTGGGAGGAAGAGCCCAACGGTCCCCAGCAAACACACAATGATGAACATCCAGAGGAAGATCCGGTCAATGACCATCGCTACGTACTTCCAGTCTTCCTTCACCTGGCGACACAGAGAAGAAAGGCCAGTTGTTAATGCTTAATTGAGATTAAAATGTATGAAGACTATTTGTGCTTTATTCTAAATACAGTATTTTAAGTCCTTAAGAAGTAGGGAAAAAGGAAAGGGTCTTGCTTACAAACAGTAGTGGAATATGATGGCAATTTTCACTCTGATCACTTGCATGGGAGACATCCCCAGTAACAAACCCTGTTCACAGCTCCCCAGGGATGATATGTCTGTGGATAATTAAGTGTGTATGCACACTCACAATCCCAGTTTCCACGAGCAACAGCTGTAACAGGGTGTGTAAATGAGACTGAGATTCAAGTTGAAGTGGGAAAGAAATTGCTTGTTTCTTTGTGCTGGTAAACAGATTCGTTTACAGATTAATGAAGCCGAATGCATTCTGTGAAGGGAATTACAGCTTTGGCTGAGTGAGCAGTGAAAACAAACCAGCAAATAAAACAAGTGGTTTGCCTCATCCTGCTTTTTCTCCACTTTTGTCTTGCTGTGGGATGATTTTCCAGCAATTCCTCTCTGGGGAAGCCTAGTTCTTATTAGCACCATCAGGCAAGACCTGTTGTAAATGGCTATTTCATCAAGTAAGAAACCACATAAATATGAAAACCTCTTTTATTACGCTGCTGCTATTAATTCCTTTCCCAGGAAGAGGACTGATCAGATGGTGAAGCTTTATTTGATATGGCTGCCCCAACTATAATTCTCCACAATATACCACTTGATGATTAATAGCCCTGATGTCGCCTTGCGCTTCGGGCTGAAATCTGGCAGGCTGCCCTGATCCTTAGGGAAAACATCTCAGCAGGAGCTTGCTCCTGCCTCTTCTGTGCTCGTGACTGCAGCAAATCAGGAGTGTGGTGCACGGAGTAGGAGACAGCAAAGCTGAAGTTATGCTTTGCTGGGGCTGCTTTCCCTCACCCACCAGTGGGTGCAAACGGAGGATTTCATTATTCAACAGCCAGGTTAAAAAAATAAGATTAAATACTGGCTTGTGCTGAAGCCACTTACTTTCTTGGAGGAAATGACTGATCTACCATTGGTGAGTAAAAGAAATAATAACCCTTGAAATCAGTCACTATCCTCTCGTATCAAGGATGAAGTCACTGTGGATAGCCCCCTTTTGCCTTACAGGTTTTCTGATCTATTCATCATTTGCTGAGAGTTGGAGTGAGTCTCTGAAGCTTAGAATTCCTGGTGAGAAGGCCGCTTGCAAGCTCAGGATGACTGTATTTAGAGGTTTAGCATCTCACGAAGAGGCAATGTGTAAAGAAAAGCTGAAATTCTCCATCTGATGTCAATCTGGAAAGGTTGATTGAGATAAATGCTTCCCCATTATGGCAATATAAGGGGTTTTTGAGTCTTTATGCTTAGGAGAAGTGAGTGGTAGACCACCAGAATGCAAGAAATGAATGATGAGTTTCTCTTGGAGAAAAGAAAGGGGGAATGGGAGAAGAGGAACAGCTTGAAAAGTTCAGCTGAAATTTCCTTCCAGACAAAATGGATTACTCATAAACAGTCAGCCTAACTTGAAAATGATGGTTTGGAATACACTGGATGTTTGCAAAATCAATATCCAGCTTCAGAGCAAGAGCACAGAACGGTGAAATTAAAAAATATTGAGAGAAGACGAAAAAAAAGAGGGGGAGGAGGAGGAAAAGCAAATGATTTGGGGTTTTGTTTTGTTTCCTGACTGCTCTGTAGCATTTCCCCATGATTGAAACTCTCCAGCATCTCACGTAGAGCATGATCCACAGAGGCCTGTCTGACAGCATCCATGCAGCTGTCAGCATCTGCTGCCCCAACTCCTGAGCTGTGTCCTGATTAGTTTTTAAGAGGCTCACTCAAAACTCTTTTTGGGAAAGGATCAGGGGCTGCAAACAGCTGATTGTCCAACCCTCAAATTCCTACACGGTCAGGGGCCCTCTGGCTCTTCCCTGGTCCATCTCAGCAGCAGAACAGGGCATCAGCCCCAGGGCTGGAGCTGGAGGTGCCTTGGGGACCTCCAAGTGCCATCTGATGCTCAGGAGCCTGAGCCTGTCACACAGATTAGAGGAGTCCCGAGTGGTTTTATTGTACTTTGTTAAAAATAAACCAGTGAGATTATCCCGTGTTCCCTCCCCCTCAGCTATTTTCTCTCTCCCATTTTATTTTTTAAGCTGTCTTCATGGGCTTCTTATTAGAGTAGCCCTGAGATGCACACAGTCACGAGGACAATGAGGCTTTGCAGACGGTGCTGTCGGTTATTTTGACTGGTGTGTGACATGCAGCTCGTTTTACTTCTCACTCTGTAATTAATTTCTAATGGCATTCCTATCACACACTGGGACAATTCAGTCTTGCATTTTCCCCAGTGTCTTGTTGTGCTGGTTTGGTCACAGATAAGTTTCTGTAGCAAACAACTGCCCTCTTGCATTCCCCATTTTCTCTTTGCTGAAGCACTTAATTAAATGAACTACTTACTTTTAATTTAGAAACACTGCCCCTGTGGCAATGGTGCTTTAGAAAAAAAAAGGAAGTTTAAAAGAAGCTTTGTTCCCATCCTGCAAAGGTCCGTGGCTCAGAAAATATGACCCGAAAGGCATAAGCTGTGTCCCAAGGGCTGCTCTGCACAGAGCTGCCTGCTGATGGTTTGGGGGAGGTTTCCACCCCTGGTAGAAATGCCACAATTTGATTTTGAGATGAAAGCAAATTTCTGAGCACCGATATCTATTTTTCTGTAGTAAATTCTCATTTTATTAGATCAGGTCTGTTCCTTACAGTTATTTTCAATACCAGGGAGCCTGGTGCACTGACGGGCTCCACTCACTGCTGGATGTGCACATGGTGTCTTTGCTCACCATGGAGGGCTTTTTAGAGCCCAAAGAATTCTTCCTTTTCTTCTGCTTTTGATCTTTAGTGTTCCAAATATATCCCTCCTTGGGATAATTGTTTCATTTCAAGAGGGAAACAGGGAGAGGGAAGAGTAGCAGAGAGTGAAAAGAGAAAGTTCATTTTGAATCATAGAATGGCCTGGGTTGAAAATAACCACAATGATCATTGAGTTTCAACCCCCCTGCTATGTGCAGGGTCACCAAGCACCAGACCAGGCTGCCCAGAGCCACATCCAGGGATG